GATTCTGCGCAAATGTCAGACATCGACCGTTGATAAGGAACAGAAACCACGGACCTCTACGAATCCAATGCCTCTCCACATCTCCTCTTTCAATCTTCGCACATCAACCTTTTTCGCTACACGGGCATACTGCACGTATTCTGGCCGTAGCCGTCGACTTTGCGTCACAAGCTGCGTCCCAAAAGCACCTTCCTGGCTTTCTTCAGTGCCGGTCAAGGCACCTGCAATGCCCTGGCTTCCGACCCCAGCATCACCTCCTAAAGCTGGCGAGAACGCTTCTCTAGCGTCCGCAAACTCCTCATCATCGTCTGGAAGACCATTGGGGAAGCCAAGTCCATCGTCTTGGAAGAAATTGGCGTCGTAATTGCCCTGTGGCGCTTCTTCGTCCGGCGAGGCCTGATTTGCTACATTTCCCTTCCGCGCCCAGAACGCTTCGTCCACTTCATTCTCCGGTACTTCTTCTTGCCTTGATGTCGTCCGACCCTTGCATCTCGGTCCATATCTTCGCGAGCCCATCCGCGCTTTAGGTTTGAGAAACAGTCGTAGGAGCTGCCGCGAATTAAAGTGCTTGTCATCAGGTAGGAGGTTCCGCGTCTTAGATTTCCATTGCGTTTTAGGCAAGGAGATAGCCGCGTTGGAACTCGCCGGGGTATACAGCATCTCCGCCAGAGCGGGACTCAGGGGAGATGCGAAGTCGATCTCGAAGGGTTCCTTCTCTTTCCGCTTCGATTGAGCTGGTGCAGAAGCTTTACTGAGGTCTTTAATCCTCCGTATCCTCCAATGCTCTGGTCCAGCCCAATTCTTCCGCAATGCATTGTCGAAATAATTGAGAATATCCTCGTGACCCCCTTCCATTTTCTTGTGGTGCAAGGACACAGCGTATTGATTGTTGTCAGGATCGAAGTCGCCAACCCCTACACCTTCTCCCACTTGGCCTACTCCAATGGCTCCTTCTTCGAAACCTATGTCTCCAAGATACATTTGAGGCTCAATGGCAGCGTTCTTCGCCCATGCTTCACCCCCTTCCCCAAAGCCGGCATCGGCACCGACCTCATACCCGCCAAGAATCCCGTCATCATCTTCGAATCCAGCAACGTTGTCGCCATCAAGAAATATGCCAGTCTGATCGCCGAGGCCCCCAGACACAGGGTTTTGCTTCTCTTGCCGACAGTCTTCCGGTGCTTTCAAAAACGGAATGTCTAAAGACCCAACCGGATTGCCTAGGTCGAGGTTCTTCAGCGAAGGACATATATCTTGTTCATCCAATATTCCTAGGTCGGGAAAGAATTTGACTCCTAGGGCATCGATGTCGATATCGCTCTGCTTAGCGTTGGTTGGTATATCTGGCTGCTCCATCCCGATCTCAGGTGTATCTGCATCATGTTCACCTGCTTCCGCGCCACTTTTCCTCCTAGTGCTGTCGCCTTCCGCACTTGCGTCTCCTGCATCATCGCTACTGTCGAAGACGATCCGGCCAGTGGAGTCGATTGCTAGATGATTGAGAAGCAACCCTTTTGCACCGCCTTCGTCAAAGTCCGCTGAAGCCTTCTTGAAGAGAGGATCCACAGAGAATTCGAGCTCAAACTTCTTCAGCTGCAATGATGTAAAGGATGGTGCTAGTGTCGCCTCTGATGAACGTTGTGTCTGCTGTCCGTTAGTTTCACAATCCGAAGACAAATCATCAAGATCAAGCGCACTCTTTTCCTCGCTTTCTTTCTCACGCCATCTTCGTCTTCCTCGTCTTCTCCACCTTCAGCATCTTCACCCTGTTCTTCACCACGATGCGTCTTTTTATTACCACTTTCCGCCAAGCCGCTCAGCAATTTCCCTGTCTCCGTTGCGACGCTGTCTACTCGGCTCGTGTAAATCTTCACACAGCCATCCAAAGTACAGCTAGCTTTTTGAAAGTTGACACCGTCTCCCTCCTTAAGCAACGACATGTCGTGAAAGTAGTCAATTAGGGCAAAGTTCCAGGAGTTCGTCGCGTTTATCTTATTGTCGGTGGCCATTTTCATCCATTCTTCAAAGTTCGCCAAAATCGGGACTCGCTTTATCGGTGTCATTGCGCTGGCAGCAACAACCGAAAGACCTCCATCTTCGATATTCTCCTTGCCCTTTGCTACCTGGGTCCGAGGAGTTTTGGGACTGTCACTGGCTGCGCCGTCGTAATTGTTCAGCTTTCGCACTGGAGAAGCCGCGGCTTTCAATGAGTTCATCTGTAGATCGTGGAGAGCTTGTCGAGATTGAAGGCGCGCCGCCTTCTCTTGTCGGTCGTCATTGAGGGGGATCCTACAGGGTTCAACTTAGTCCGCTCTTGTCAACCTCAATGTTTCGTACTCACTTTAAGGGCGATTGATTGGCTTGTTTGTGCGGTGTTGTAGCAGTTTTATGATTTGCGCGTGCAGGTTTCACAACCCGAGGCATTATGCTACCAACCCAACTATGTATGATACGTGGGTAAATTCGTGCGAGAGATGCTTGTCGCGATCGAAATCAACAAACAAGTTCACGAGATGTTTGTGGACTAGCGTGGCCGTGCTACGGTGGTCTGGAAGTTCGTACTGCGCAAAAGTTGATACATGTAATGTAAATTACAAGTGTCTCGGCACAACAGGTTTTCCGGAGCACTTAAGATAAGCTGGAATCGGTTAGCTCTCCGGAAAAGCTGGCGCGACTTTCGACGCGTTGCAAAATAATCGTGTCGTCTTCAAACGGCAACTTCGAGTGACACAAAGCAGCAAGAGCAACCCCCTCGATAAAGAATCAATGGCTTCGGTACTAGGAAAGCGTGCAAGACCTATCGAGTCAGCTCAAGGTACGCAGCAGCATAACGTCCACATTGCCAGTCTCTCTAATGCTACCAAGAATTTTCGGCCATCTCCTCCATCTCCTCTCGCGTCAAGCGCAGAGCCCATATCCAAATCACCAACGATGAAAATGCCGACCCAACGTTTATGCACCATGTCCGAGACAATGCTGAGCGCAATGGCATGGATTTGGATAAGCTGGATAGTTCCAAATACCTTCCAAACAGCTCTTGTCCACTCAAGCGCTCTGCCATCGGAAAAAGAGTCGCGCTGTCTCCAAGTACGGCCAATGGTCACAGAGAAGCATACACGTTTCCACGTATGTCCAGCGCCAGTCTGGGACGGCTTCAGAGCTAACGTTGTCAGTAGAAGACAAGAACGTCGTACAGCTTCCAACACCCCAAACGCCACGACACCGAGACGCTTCATCGAAGCGAATGCCCGTTACCCCTCGTCACCGAGTCGGTCTCGTTGGCAAGCCATTGACCCCACACACACCTCGGACGCCGTTCACTCCAAGCAATGCACCAACCGTGTACAGTTGTGCGCGTCAGCTGTTCACAAGGAGCGCAAACCCAGGTCGTTTAGTAGGACGTGAAGAGGAGAGGAGCGAGCTGCACACTTTCATCGAGGAGGGCATTAAACCCAAGTCCGGCCGATGCATGTATGTCAGCGGTCCACCTGGCACCGGAAAAAGCGCGCTTGTTAGGGAAGTCTGTCGAGACGTTCAAGGAACGGAAGGAGTCAAGACAGCGTATATCAACTGCATGAGTGCGAAAGGCTCAAAGGATGTTTATGGCAAGCTGATCAGAGAATTTGATGGTCACGATGATGAGGCCGACTGCGACGAGGTGGAGCATCTGCGGGAAATGCTCATACCAAGAGAAAAAACCTCAGATCATGTCTATATCTTGACCTTGGATGAGATCGACCATCTCTTGACTTTGGATTTGGAGATTATTTACACATTGTTTCAATGGTCGCTGCATCGCTCGTCACGCCTCATACTTATCGGAATTGCGAACGCGCTTGATTTGACAGACCGCTTTCTACCACGTCTGAAGGCAAGGAATCTCAAACCGCAGCTCCTACCATTCCTTCCGTACACCGCTCCTCAAATTACCTCCGTCATCACTACGAAGCTCATGTCGCTTTCATTACCGGATCCCACGATGCCAGTCGACTACCTTCCTTTTCTCCACCCGGCAGCAATCCAGCTTTGTTCAAGAAAAGCGGCGTCTCAAAGCGGTGATCTCCGTAAAGCCTTCGATATAATTCGCCGCACCATCGATCTCATCGAGACCGAAACAAAGCAAAAATATCAAAGCGACCTCACCGCCAGAGCTCTCCAAAGCCCTCCGTCGAAAACGCCTTTAAGCGTAAATCCCAACCTCTGCTCCCCCAAAGGCAGCTCACTCACCCTCGCCGCCTCCCTGGCAACGCTCACGCCTTTGACAGCCCCTCGTGCCACTATCGCTCACGTTTCACGTGTTTCTGCTGCTGCACTAAGCAATGGTATCTCTCAACGTCTTCAGAAGCTCAACCTGCAACAGAAAGCTGCTCTCTGCGCGCTTGTCTACCACCAAAAAGCTTCCAGAAAAGTAGCAAGTTCAATATTTGCCACGCCATCAAGATCTTCCCATGCGCCAAGTCTAAGAAAGCTTTATGAGACCTACTGCACACTGTGTAAGCGAGAGGACGCACTACATCCACTCTCGAATACGGAGTTTGTGGACATTTTGGGAGGGTTGGAGACATTAGGGCTTTTGGGAGAAGAGAATTATGGAAGTGGCCTGAATGGAAAAGAGGGCACGCCGACTCGTAAGGGAAAGCATGTTGGGGAGGAGAAGAGATTTGTAAGTTTTGTCGACGAAGGCGAGGTCAAAAATTGTCTGGAAGGAGTGAGTGGAGACATCCTGAGAGGTTTGTTGGGGTTGGAATGAATGAACGGTTGTGGTTGGGCGGAACCCATGCATGTGGTGTTTTGCATCCTAGTCCGCATTATTTCTCAGCCTGAAACCATGCCTTCCTTCATTCAAGTCTGACTCTAGCATTGGCCGGGCTCTCTCTTGTTCATTGATTTCCTTGGTTACAAATCCGTGCTTTGGTTTACAGGTGGACGGTTCAAAGCTATTGTTACACTGAAGTCAAGCGGCTCGAAGGCAACCCCACACATCCATTGCCTTTCAATGTTCAATCATCCATGGGCTTATCGCTCAACTGAACTCCATGCCTCTCCGTATTTCCGGCACCACTTTCGGGTTCCAGGCTATGTCTGTTCCCCGTCTCCAAACTGTTTCTGTTTCCACCGCCAGACCGATTCAAGCTTCCGGCCGTCCCTTGTTTCCTGGGTGGGAAGCGACTGCTCCGGCCCAAAGACTCGCGATTTTCAGCGAAGGTTGTTCCGCCGTTAGTATCTTCTGATGATGGGACATAGCTGGAGTTAATTTTCTCATAATTGGGGTCTGGAACGTGAGGTGGATCCTCAGGAATGGGCTTGGAGGTATTGTTAATGTTATTGATCATGTTGCTGACACTGTTTTGCTTAGCTTGCCTCTCGACCACCGGCGACGAGCCATCGTCGGATGGAACATCTAAGCTAGCTCGTACACCTCTTCGAGGTGCGTCACCAACGGTAGGTGAGCTTGTTTGGATTGGAAATCTGGTCGCTGGCGGATCACTGGATCGGTCTCTCCGATGACTCCGCCCATTCGCATGGGGTGCTGGACTGCTGTTCCTCGACTTGGACGCTATTGCTCGATTACGTGCTTCCATGTTAGCGCGGCGATTGCTTTCATCTGTACTGATGGCTCTCATGCGAGAAGCATTAGAAGCAGCGCCACCACTGGGCGTATGCGAGAGAGTGGATGCTCGTTTGAGTTCGCCGAAGATCTCTTCCTTGTGTGCAAAAAGATCCCGTATGAGCCGGTAAGAATGTCTTTCGTGCATGGTCAGTGAGTTCTCAGAGCGAGGCCGCAGAATGCAGGGTGCTAGATTGCTGGCGAGTGATGAGATGTAAGGTTCGTCTGCTGAAGTGAGCTCGATGAGGCGGGTGAAGTGTGTGGTCAGGGCGTCAAGGGTGGCAATATTGGCAAGGCGTAATTGGCCGAGGGTATTCTGGAGGACCGAAATCCGAGTTTGAGCGGAAGTGGAGGAGTCGGGAGTTGAGTATATGGTTTTTATAATTTCGTAAACCTGTGAAGAAACAAGGGAGTCTATGATGCAGGTTAGCAGTGGCCTTCAAGATTCGTGTCTCTTTGGATACAAACTGGATTTGTTTGTACAATCTTACCGGGCAATTCGAGGAGGTATAGTTTCAATGCGCTTGCAACGATGGGTATCTCGTATCTCTCTAAAACCTCACGCGGAATGGCTTTGCCTGTGTTGATGGCGTTCCGGAGATGGTGCGTTGCCGCAAGGGGCACATCAACAAGCCAAATGCCACGACGGGCCTCATCTCCCTCGAGATCGGGGTAATCTAGGAGACTCTATCAGATGATGCAGTTCTGATCTCATTGGTTTTACGTACGGTTGTCCAGGAAAGTGAGGATCGTGGTGACTATTATTGGTACACGCTTCCTGTCAGCTCGTGCCCGGGCTTCCAGGTCTACTCCGAATGTCTGCTCTGTGATTTGAGTCAGTGTTTACCATTCATTTGAATGGCCTCTATTCCGAACATACCGTCCACTGTGTTATAGTAATTATCATAGACCTGTACCCGTGGTACGAAAGCCCCTGTGCGATAATTTTCTAGCAGATACCTGAGATCCCCCATAGGTTGAACAGTTTCTTGATAGAGCATCATGTTGTCTACAGTACTCTGGAGGCTGGGTATAGCGTTGCTGATGGCTCCAGAGAAGTCCAGGATCACTGCCTTGATAGCCTTTAGCCTATCTAATTCGCATCGTTCCATGAATTTCAAGTTATCGACCATCTTCTCTTCCAGCTGACAGCGCAAACCGTCAAGTCTGCGGACACTAGCTTTGTATCGCTCGTCAGCTTCAGTTGATTCTCTGCGAAGCCTCTCTGCGGGTGTCTCATTCGGATGCGCATTGTTCATAGGGTTCCAAGTTGACAATATCTCTCCCACAGATCCGACGATAGGTGACTCGACGCTGTTTGTGGTAGAAGCTATCGACAGTACTCGGTCTAGAGATTTTTTTCTCTCTGGGATGCCTGTCGTTTGGAATACCTTTGGCCGCCATTGATAGTTCATCTTTGAGCTATTTGCGAAGGTGCTCCCCACAACCCCTATCAATCTCAAAAAACCATTCGTGACAAGATCCTGACCAACTCTTTCCGCATGACTAACACTAGTAGCACCCATGTGTTTCTGTATGTATTCGGTGATATCAGATCCTATAGAAACATTCTGGTAGACACCGAGAATAGGCACTTTGGCTTCGCCTATCTTGATCGTGTTCAGCATGTGCGTCAACATCTTCTTGATTCGTTCAGGGTCGTAAGTCTCATCTCCAATTTCTAAAGGCTCCTGCTCTTCGGTTTCCTGGGCCTCAGGCAATCTAATGATGGGTGTCGCCAGGCTTTTGGGGCTCGCCATGTCAGTTTTTTCAGGGCTCTGAAAGGCTAGCTTATTTTCCTCCTCTAAATCCTCCAGCTGGCGGCATTTGTTGAAGTATGCGCTTCTCAGTTTCCTGACATATTCGGCCTGCTTGTCGTGTGCTTTCATCCGAGATTGCAGGTCATCTTGAGAGCTTTGGACGCGGCCCTCGTGAGCTTCACACCATCGACTGAACGGTAATACAACCAATTCGCTGATATTGGACGCGATCTTCTTGTGACTTTTCGAAGCTTCTTCCATTTCCCCCCGCACACCCTCGTAAGCTTTGCGTAGGCTTGCTCCATCGTCTCTAGCAAACCCACCCGTCATTTTGTCTGTAGTTGGCGCAATGTCTCCCAGTCTTCGTCCGTACATTTCCTCTGCATCAGCTCGCATTTTTGCAATCGTCAAAACCTGCTGATTTTCTATAACGCCCTGTTGGAGCTTCCCAAACAAGACCCCCAGCCCTCCGGCGTAGTCCCCCGACCAAAAAGAATCAGCAAAGCCTGGCATCTTGGCTATCGCGGGGTTTTCGGCTTGTTGGTCAAATATTTCGGTGACATTCGAGAGATGATACTCAGTCACCCCAGTGGGAAAGTGGGAAGTGCTGCTGTTGTGGATGTTGAGATGGAGTGAGGTTCTGAGCCAGTCTGTATGCGCAGTAACGGTAAGTGGATTGAGGGAAAAGAAAGGAATTCTGAGCTCATACACGGGGGCCAAGCAGCTTACGAGCGCTTGAATCGGATGGAAGATGGCAGGTGCTTTCATCAGTAAGTGGCACTTCCCCAGGGCTACTATTGGGGTGGCATTTAGTTCTCAGCGGCGTGCCAGCAAATCTTGGCGCTGGAACAACCAAATTGATATCACTCCATTACCTGATTTTTGCATGATCAGCGCTTTTGAGAAGAAATTCTCTGAGACACGATCAGAAACAACATCTCGACTTCGAAGTTTATTACCAGATTCTACTTCGATAGAGCTTTTTTTGTGGAGCTGTGTCGAAGGATTGTGATTTTCACGCCGCCGGGTACTAAATACTAAAGTATCCTGATAGTATATTCTTACAGTGCCCTAGAGTGAATTGTAAGAACTCCTGCATGTTACTCCATTCAACCATCGCCATTTGCCGCCAAGGCATGGGACGCATTGTTCACCGTCTCCAGTACCAGCCTAGACCGAAAAGGAGTTTGCGCAGGAGCGATGACCCAAGGCCAAAGGGTGCGCATAGAGCCATGCGGCAAAAGTTTCAAGTCGCTGTCTTGATGCCCGCGTATACATGCTACCGCGCATCATGCCAGAATATCATCGAGGGCAGCAGCAGTCTCCTTCCCCTTCCTCCAAAACAGGGCCCATGCTTCCACCCCTTTCAAAGTACTACTATGGACCTGCTCAAGGTTGGAATTCGACCGAATCCTCTCCTAGCCATAATGGTATGTAACTGACTGCAACCTGCCCCCAAGACCTTATTCTAACATACTCGAGTTGCAGGATCGTCTTGGAATTTAAATCATCATGACATACCGCCGGCCTTACCGCCTCGATTATCCCCTGGACCGCCAGCTCATACGTCACCTCAGTGGATGAATCATTCCCCTTATTCGGCAGAATCATTGCAAGGATGGCACTCCCACGGTCCTCCGCCCTCAGCTCCACCTGCAAGTCAACTCGCCAACGTACCTTTTACCTCTCATGGCTATCCCCCTGTGCCTGTCACTAGCCACTCGAATGTCAATCCTACCTGGGACAGTGGTCCTCCAGACACATCAACGTGGGGCGTGAAATATAATCAGAAAGCCGCACATGGTTCAGAGCCAACAGCAAAGCCAGCTTTGCCAGTGAGTCCATCCTTTCTCATTTCCGCGTTCCATCTCAACGTAGAGCTGATACCCCCACCCTTTCAGCCACGGCCTCATCATCAAACACCAGGCCAGCCTATGTCACCCGAGTCGAAGACACCTTCATCTCGCCTGTCAGCCACAACAATCGAGGTGCCAGTCTTCCTACAACCAGTAGCTTACGACCCTGTCTCTGCACCGCCGTTACCAGAACCTCGTCAGCCCCCACCACAAGACGTGCAAATTTCGATACGGTCCCCGCCCGAGCCTGAACGGCTTCCACCACCTCCTCCGCAGAAGATACCCCTGGGACACGAGGATATGCCGCAAGCCCCGAAAAATATGCCACAGCGCCCCTGGCATGACCCACAGCATAGCTACGATGGTGGGCAGCAGAAAGATTCACCGATTTCTCAGCGCCCCCGATTTGACCCTCAGGATTCGCATAACGCTGAAAACAGACCATATCAATGGCACAGTCATGAGCAGCGGCCAACGATCCCGATTCCGCAGTTCACCAATTTCGATGTTGAATCTGCCCTACCACCACCGGAACCGCAGCCCGAACCATCACTCCCTCAGCAAAACTTGCCTCAATCAACTACCGTAGCCCAAAGTAATGATCTCAATCGCTTTCGGGTAGGCGAGTTCCTACACAAATCATCGATCTCGCCCGTGTGCCCCAGCGACGCAGATCGTTGGGTTCCATCATCAACGCCGTGGGAATCTCAGGCCGCCTATGTTCCTTCTCCAGAGCCGCAACATGCTGTCTTGTCCCCACCCGATGGACAGTCTATCTCCACTACTGACCTCTCAATCAATACTGCAGGTGTCTCGACACCAGGGTCCCATCAAACATCCAACACGTCGTACCGGGAAAATGAGAATCGAGGGGACTGGGGCAGACCTGAGCACCAGGGTGATGACTCATTCTACTGGCACTCAGGTCGCTCGTCGTCAGACGCGGAGGAAGACCAGGGCCAGAGTGGCTCTCCAACAGCAACGCCAGGAGACGATAGTGTTGGCCAAAGAAGCTCAACCATAACTTCAATGGGACTGCAGCGCGAGCATCAAGACCTCCCTATACGATCCACAAGTCTTTCATCGGCAACATCCGCGACCTACGGCGCTTCAGCTTTGGGCTTCGGTGGCCCGTCAGATTGGGAGTATTTTGGGGATTACGAGGCAGAAGAGATCGACGATGAAGAATTGTACAGTCGACCCAGACCGCGGGATTGCAAGAGCGTGGTCGAGGGATCCACTGAGCTGCCGGTGGACTTACCTCTCGACTCCATACAACCACGCAACGAATCGGACCTGCTTGGCTCCAACTTGATGCGGCTGGAGAGCCGATCTTTGCACGAAAAATCTTCCGCCAGGCCCTTTATGGAGAGGTGGTCTCAAGACAATGTCGTCCAGGAGCTGAGGATTTCGCGTGAAGGTGGCTATGGAACCAACACAAGGCCGCCATCAGCACAGAGCCTGGTTACTCTTCATGCTGCTTCAGGTCATGCAGCACCGTCATCAGGTGCTGATGGCCAGCAACGGCCAGATCTGGACGATGTAATCCGGGCATGGTCGGAAGCTCCCTATGTCGGAAAAGTCCAGGAAGTGGCGCCCGCCACTGGAATTCTCCCTGACAATGATGTAGAGCCTTCGAATATTGCTGAAGCATCACTGGCATCCACCCCTCGTGAAAGGATGTTAGGTGTAGACGTGATATTAAAAGGCGCGCCCTCGTTACCAAAATTACCAGATTCCGTGGATTCCCTGAATCCTGATGAGCGAGAGCTACACCACAATGCTAATGTTTCGGCAACCCCATCATATGCCGTTCTGACTGCCACTAATCATGGACAGCAATCGCAGCCTCTGTCAAATCAGCAAGAGCCGGCAAAAAATGACATGTCGGCGAATGCAGAGGTCAAGCCCAGAAAAGAAGAAAATCTCACATCAGAAAGCGAAAAGATAATACAAAATGTCTTGCCGCCAGTCGACGTGGCGGTTTCGTCGGGCCTTTCACTGTCGATTCCCACCGAGCCAAGCATCAACAGACTGTCCTCGGACATTGATCCCTCAGTAGACACATACACAGACCCGAGGACGCATGGTTTGCCTCAGGCTTCGCGAGAGACAACGCCGACAGATTCGAACGAAAATTCTCATAGCTCATCGCAGAGAAACGATTTAAACCCAGATCAGCAGATTTCGCAAAACATGCAACTGGAGAAGCTCGAGTCGGACCACCTAGACGATTGTAAGAGGAATTCACAGGAGGTCAAATCAGAGCTCCCGCAGAATTCAGGAGGCTCTACATCGCACGAAGCTATCATCATGGTGTCCTCAGAAACAATCGAGAGCTTGTCACGAGGAAGCTCGCCATCGAAGCAGTTGATAGCTTCCGCGGAGACAACGCAAGAAGACCCTTATTCGTTCATGCCTCGCAATACCTTGCAAGAGAACTTTGACGCGGGAGATAGTATTGAGGCCAGGCAGGATCATTCACAGGAGCATGCAAAGACACCGAAAACTTATGCAATTAGTGACAGGTCGCCGTCAAAGGACAACCTCACTAGCGCACCTCCCCAAGCAACTCCTCCTCCGCTCACCCCTGATACCTCACTTATTCATAACAAAACTTCATCGGAGATGAAAACGGTCCAAGATCCATATTCAGACCTCGAACCGTGGGGTAAAGCATCCTTGAATCGATTTGCGGCAATGCTGCGAGAAGAATCACGTGCAGAAACCAACCAAGACAAGCTAAATATCTTTAATGTGTTTACCAGTCGCGAATCTCGCTTGCGAGTTGTTTTGTACGGCACTGATGACGAGCTTATCATCCCGCAGAAATCGGTACAGCAAAAGCTTGAGACTATACAAAAGGTCGAGAAGGCAGGATTCGTGAAGCAAGCTGTAGAGCGTGCCGATTCAATAGGTCTCGAACGCTCACTGAAAGCGCTCCCTGCTTTACCGGCAAATCGAGAAAGCGTAATAGGTATGCCTGGGAACACTCTGGCCCTGTTGGTAATACAGCATGACTTAACAAACGACGGACGAGGTGTTGACTTGAAAGTTCAGCCGTCGGCAGACGACTCTAAGTCCAAGAAAGAAAGTAAAAAGTCAAGCAGACCGTCCGGAGATGGCTCCTATGTCATGGTCGATTCGCCATCGGATGAAGTTCAATACAGCCCTGGTGGCAGACCTGTAGGAGCTCGCTTGCTAGAGACCGGTCGTGGAACAGACGTAGATTCATCGCAGGACGCAAAATCAGGTTTTGAGAAGGACAACGCCGCTCTCTCAAACACGCCAGGAAGCGCCAGACGTGCGGACTCACCAAGCTCCGACGGACCGATCGCAGTAGGACTCGAAGATTTTGAAGCTACTAAAAAGCCTGCATACACGGCTTCGAAGTACAGCGATGGTCGCTCAGAGGTCAAAAATTACTTAGCAAATCGCAAGTCCGTCTGTAGGCCATATGCGACGCTTACGCAGGGGTCGTTAGAAAGTGCATCGACTTTTGGAAGAGGGGATGATACCAAATTAGCGGGAGTGGCAAGTATCATCACGGCACCAACGAGTCAATATAACTCCAGTTTGCAGGTCAAGGTAGATGGTGCAGCAACTGAAAACAAGCAGAAAGCTCCTGGAGCCGAAGGACCGCCTGATTTGCGGCGCTTTGTGAAGGCCGATTTCGATCCTTTACTGTTGGCGTTGCCAAATTCCGACGCTGTTGTTCACGAGTCAGCTCGAATTCTAGACCTGAGGAATGTCATGGAGGCGGTGCCCGACGAGTTCAGTTTCATTCACCAAAGTGTTGTTGCCTGGGATGCAAAGGCTAAGAAGCAGCGCGAAGAGAATGACAGACAGCGACATGCACGGCAAGTGGAATCTGAACAGAAGATCGACTCGCTATTCGACGACCATGAAATTGGGTATGGGGACATTGCGGAATTGGAAATAGAGTTCAAACGATCAGAAGCGGCTAGGAGAGCTGATGAGGACCGCTCTGAATATCAGACTTTCGTATCCGATGTCTTCAACCTAGTTTGGACACGTTTACATTACGAGCTTGACCAGCTGATTCCTCACTACGAGCAATATTCAGAATTGATGGATCATACGCTGGCTGGGAAAGATATGTTCGAGGGCTCGGAAGAAGGACTCGCGCTCGGACCGACAATGAGCTCCTTCCTTGCGTTGCACCAAAAACTTGAGATTCGTTACCAAAAAGCGTTCGAAGCAGTTCTGGAGAGAGACCGGCGGCTAAAGAAGACTGAAATATCTCCGTGGTACACTTTGAGCAACATTGCCAAGGTCAAGCAGCTGGAGAAGCAGTTTGAAGATGCGGAAAAGAAAGCGATTATCGAATACTGCCAACAACGTGATGCCAGAGCCAATCATCTTATGGACGTACTCGATCAGAACACGCTTCGAGGCGTGGGCGCGAACCAGGATTATATGGAGGCAATCATGAAGGCCGTGCGTAGGATCGCATCTGGAAGAGCGTTCGCTTCTGTGCCCGGCTCGAACGAGCCAACAGCCGGGCTTGAAGAGGTAGAAAAGGCCAAGGCCATCACTGCTCTGCTTGCTTCATCTTCAGAGCAGATCGTGCAGACATTTCACGTCGCGGACATGCTCTTGAATTCGGCAGATTACGAAGTCTCTGTCGCGAAAGCCAAGGTTGCAAAGGCTGACATGGCGACTCTGGCAAAACTCAAGGAAGAGCGGGCAAAAGAAGATCAGAAACTGATGAGAGATCTGGAGCACCGCTTGGCGCTTATCAGGGAAGACTCTAGGAGGACCAATGACGAAATCGTCAAATTGATGCTATTTCTGGGCGTCCAGAACGGGCGCGCTGATGGCGCACCGGCGCAGGCAGAGAATGCAGATCCAGAGCACGAAGCAAGAATACATAAGGCTTTGGAGGAGGCGAAGAGGAGGAATGCAATCAAGCAGTCTGGAGAATGAGATGCGTGATAAATGTTCTTGGAAATTTCGATGATACCCCTCGCGGCGCATAGAGGCGTGCGACAGCATGTGTTGTGAGCGGGAATTGCTTTTTTAAACGACATACGAGTATTCCTCATACCTGAAGAGACTTCAATCTGGCCAACGAAGCGAGCATTATGAGTATCTATTGAGAAGGTCTTAAACATTCGGCCGCTATCGTACCATGTACAGATATTATGTAAAGACGTAACTCTCATGAGAACTGAAGTAAGTGTTTTGGGCATTCGTCCTTGATCAATCTCAGGATACCTTTCTCGTTTTTTTACATTGAACAGAGTCGAGGAACGGTACTTAGTTGTCGCGTGTACAAGTAGTGGCGAGAGTGGCTGCAGCGGGGAGTGCAAACCCAGTGCGAGGGAAGCACGTTAGCAAGTCACGACCTACCCTCGCCCTGTCCGAAGACAAAGGTAGGAATATTCGTGGCGAGCATGTCAAAGCAACGGCGTGGCATGACTATGAAGCCAGCTTCCTGACACCAACGATGGGTTTGACCCCTTCTTGCAGGTTTAGCAAGTTGGCGGTGGTGCTGGTGGCTTTTACTCTAGCTCAAGGAGTCTTGACCAATAATGACTGGTGAATGGCAAGTTCAAAGTACCTTTGCTTGGTGGCACTGCCAAGATGAAACAACCATCGACATCGACCAGCTGTGACTCTCCTTTGGCGTCTGGAGAAAGAGCTTCGCTTTCCGTTGTGGATGGGGAGAGGATAAAAGAACCAAATGGTAATAGGGTTGTATACCCAAGTGGTCTGCTTTCACGAAAGTACCGTGAGAAAAACAGCGACCATGAAGAAGGTGACGAGAATAAAGTAAAGTACGAGGGTAATAATAATACAAAGGTCTGCACCGAAAGTCCTGCACCCGCCAAGACTCTTGCGCTCAGACTTCGGATAACGCCCCACCTAAAGGGTTACCTGGACAATACGCCTGGAGTTCTTCGGAATCGCACCTAGCCCTAGTCAGGTTTCGGGGCTTAATGCCCCTATCAAGCCAAGAGAAGTACCTAAAGTCCCATCCATGCGCTGTGAGAAGATATTTCTAGGCTTCCCCTCTACAGGGCCGCTTTCCGAAAGTAGGGTTAGGGCTGCACTAGTGCGGGTGCAGGACTTTCGGTGCAGACCTCTGTACTCGTGCTGTCCAGAAGTGAGTTCTTTGATAGAGCGAGGACACCAATAAATCCTTCCACTTAGCCGAATATCGGTTAATCTATTGGTGTCCTCGCTCTATCAAAGAACTCACTTCTGGACAGCACGAGTACAACTGGTACAATAATAATACAAGCTAATTAGACTAGCGAGAGATTGAGAATCCTGGACCGGGACCTTTTGACGTCATCCCGCCTTGGAAAGTGTGAGGAACGGTTTTTTATCATGGCTCCTTGGCTCGCTTGCCTCTGCCTTAGCGCAACAACTCCAGCCTCCCCGAGCTCCCCAACTCCAAGAAGGTGGGTGAGGTTCCACCCTTTTTACCTCGCCGGCACCGCCACCTCTACATTTTCTCTGCCACTCTGCCACTGCCCTCTCCCACCCCCCCCTCTCCTTCTCCTCCCCCGGCCTCTTAGAAATGCTTTCTCTCTTCCTGTATTCACTTTCGCAACCGTAATTCTCCATCTCGGTCGCTGCGGCTAAGCGGTCTTTTCAAAATCCTCTTGTTCAACGGTGCCAGCCCTCCTCCGGCGCCAGGCTGAATGTGATATCCAAACCCCAAAAGTTTGGACGAAAAGACAACAAACATACAGTACTTATTAATAAGAGTACCTTACGGTTGAAAGGCTTTTTGCGCTTCGGACCAGTACACGTTAGGTCTGCAGTCTGGCTTTTCTGAATACAGTAATACCTTCTCACCAGGCAAATGTGTCCTTCACTGGCATTGAACTGCGATTTCTGTGTCGCTCTTGTGAAGACACCCCGACGCAGTGCTCTCCTGAATCAAGATTCCCAACTCCTTTAGATGGCAGATTTCGTGACGTCTACAGCAACATCCAGCGCGACGGCAGCTTTGACAGACCGGCCCTCCAACTCCCACACCCCTGCCTCCGTCGCTTCCTCACCCAAGCTCCCAAGCGTTCCGCACGCTGTTGACTTCGCCACACCCCAAAGTGCTCGGAAACGCCGTCGCTCGTTCACAACCGCATCTGCCACCGGCCCCGAAGCCAAGCTGTTAAGGGCGTCAATCACATCCAAGTCAGCGCTTTCCCCGGAGTATACTCCAAAGGCGCTCACAGGAGCTGCAGCTCTAGCAGACGAGCAAAGGCAAAGAGACAGGATTGAAGGTCGCCAAACAAGCCCCAATCCTGCGCGAAAGGCACTTGGATACTTCTCGGGACCGCAAAGGAGTGGCATGAGCAGGTTACAGGATGCGCCGAACCAGGCATCTACCCTGAGCAAACCTCTCGCTGAGGTGGCTCCTTCCCCCAAATCAACTCTGACTGGGGGCTCAGTGGCTTCCAGTGAGGCTACAGCTCAGACGAGCCCGCGAAATACAGCAAGCTTCGCAACATCTGGCAGTACGGCCGCCCCTACAATCACTGCAAATGGTACCTCAGTGGCAAGTCCAGGTCAAATGGATGATGTCGCGGGCGAAGATGATGACGATGATGACGACGATGACGATGATGGACCGGGTCGAAGTGAGAATGGTCAAGGAAGGGACGATACTGGTGGTACGGATCCAGAAGAAGGCCGCTCCAATAAGGCTTTCACTTATCCTGGTCCAATGTTGGCCGCTCAAGCACACCGAACGTCAAGCTTACCACAGTCTGGGTACGGTAGCGGTAGAGCCAACACCAGGTCTCCATCCACCAAGAGACACAAGTGTCCGTACTGCAGTACTGATTTTACCAGGCATCACAATCTGAAGAGCCACCTCCTTACTCATAGCCATGAAAAGCCCTACCAATGCGACACTTGTGAAGCACGATTTCGACGTTTACACGACTTGAAACGGCATACCAAGCTTCACACTGGCGAGAGGCCTCACGTCTGCCCTAAGTGTGATCGCAGCTTCGCTCGTGGCGACGCACTAGCAAGACACAACAAGGGCCAGGGTGGCTGTGCTGGGAGGAGGTCTAGCATGGGTAGTTTCGGTGGCGACGAGAAGCACGAAGAAAGAATGAGGGCTGGTGACGGAGACAGTATGCCTGGGATTATGTACACTGCCGAGGCCTCACATGAGCCTGAGCACATGGACGAAGACAATGATAGTCCTGGCGGGAGGAGCCTTCCTAGCATTCGAAAACACGATGCTCCTCCTGATGAGCACCACGGACATGTATCTGAACACCAGACCATGTATCAATCACGACAGCCCAGTACCTATCCCCCTGTAGCTGCCCGGCAGCCTACAGGTGGCCTTTATCCGCCACCGAACGCAAGCCCTAGAGGCGGCTCCGGCCCACCAAGTACGCAGTCTTCGCTCGGCTTATCCTCATATCCACCTCCTCCTAGTTCTGGTATCTCGGCCGGATTCCAGGCTTCTGGCGCCAATGTTTTCGCCCAAGGCGGCATGACTGAGAGCCCAAAACCACTTTCACCGGCTGGCGTAACATCCCAGCAGCTGGGCCATCCAGATACCGGAATCCATCGCAACAGATCCCCAAGCCTAACGCAGCAATTCCAGCACACACAATTCGGTAGACGTACTACGGGTCACAACATATCGCCGCCAATGAGTTTGCCACCTCCAAACCCCACCGCGGGCCATCCCAATGCTCCTCAACTGCCCTCGCTGCCTGGTCTGAACCCTCCGGAAACTAGGTATACCCTACACAGCCAAACCACAGGGCCGACTCAACCGCACGCCAGCGTACCCAATAGCCTCGCTGGACCTCCATCACATGGACCGAACTCACCGAGCTATCCACCAGGTACTACGTCATCAGCAAACAACAGCCTTTCTAGCCACAGTACTGGGCCCCAAACCAGCTTTGACAGGCCTCACAATCCTTATACCCAATCGAATGAACAGCTTTGGAATTATGCTCGAAGCCTAGAGGTCAAAATCGACCGATTGCAAGACGAAGTTACTTCGTTGAAGAGTCGACCGATTGGAGGTGCTCACGACCATCACTAGCGCACCTCATTCTCTGCCTGAGCAGACAATGTGGGGGATAGACCACGACGTATTTGGATTCCAAGCCGTTCGAATTCCATTGTTCAATTATCTCCAATTTATCCATTTATCATAGCCGGCGGACAAATAGCATCAGCGAAGGGGAAAGGCGTCATCTGAGGAAGCCCAGCACACGATAGAGGCTTCCGGCCAGCGACAAGCAACACAAGCCGGCTCGATTCAAGCATGGGTGGCGCATAGCAAATATGGTGGGAACGAGTGACGGCAATGCAACGGGGACTGGAATAGTGATAGTCCTTGGTCACATTGCCATTCCCATGCACCTTGTCTTTCTCACGATTCCCTGTTGGTCTTCTCTAGTAGTCAGTCAAAAAGCGGTGTTTAGCGGGTCTCATTGCGGCTGTTGTAGCTACCATTTCACATAGCTACTCTCTTGCATCATCGGAAAGAGTAGTATATTTATGGTGGCACGACTGCACATGTGTATCATAGTTTCATGTTGTGTCGATAGGAAAAGGGCTGGTGCCTCTGTGCAAATGAAGCCTCGCGCTTAAAGCAGCTTACGAGCCGAAAAGCGATTGCCATTTTTCACAGAATTCAGAAACTGACCAATTGCATTCAGAGCGGCTAAGAGGACGCAGTATCTGCATCGATGAAGCGCAGTACATCGATATGAATCAGCCTGAGTTCGAGGGCTGAGACGAAGGTTATGGGAAGCGCCACCAAGGAGCACAGTTTGTTCACAGCACAGTCGCTGAGCCGCAATAAGTATACCAAAGCCAACTCCAATGACCGGAACTCCATGCGGCTTCATCTCCACCACCCACGATCTTTGATTCTCTTGTTCTTCTATCAGCCTCGAGGAGCTGAACGGAGGCCATGCACTCATGACTTAGGCTTCGCTGTTGCCGGCCCTGACCACGCGGCTACTGATTCAATCACACCTCCAATGGCCAATAACACGAGTGGGATGGCAGTCCACAGGACTTCTATAACGCCACTTGCCGTTGGCCCATTCACGCTTTGACCGTTTAGAGGGACAGCTCCATATTGGCATCAGCGTAGCCGGCACCACCACCTCAAGCTCCAGTTGACTCAGCTATATCCGTTTTTCCTGTGTCATCTCCTCCAATCAATTTCAAGCTGAATCTGGCGCGCTGCTAAGAGATGCTCAGCCGAGCTTTTAGACGCTCGAAGAATGTGCTCTGAAGCCATAGAGGTGCGGCCACCTCGCCTTTTGGTAAATTTGACTGGCGTTTGTCCTTTAACCGCCGTCAGAGGGAGCTGATACTTCTTCCATCTTTTCCCTTTGCTTACGTCTTCCTTCTTCAAGCAAGCTTGTTGCCTGAAATTTGAGTCAAATGCCCCGGTACAAAAGGTTCATGATGTTTCCAGTAGTACTCATTCCTGCAACAACCATCTCCTGTCGATCATTCGCTGTTCTTAATTTGCTCATGTCGGATCCGGCCCGACCGCTTGGAACCTTACATCTGGACGATATGCCAGTCACTCGTTCTCACACCCAATTCCCCCAGCAAAGGGCAGGACGATCTCCGCGAGCTCGGGCTCGAGGTCGCGGTCGTGGCCGTGGCCGTGGCCGCGCTCAACTTCCAGCACTAACTATAGCCCCTGTTTCGGGATACGCAGGTCTTCAGTAAGTCCACATTTCGTAGCAAGTTCTCCCTAATCGTGAATTGCGTTGTTAGACATGTTCCGCAAGTAGCAGGCTTAATCCCGAACCCAAAGATTCGTCCTATAGATTGGCTTTTATCGCGAAGAAGTCAAGCTAACATTGGAATTTACAGGTATGATACCCAACGCCTGTCTCCTAGTTCTGCTCAGACAGCTGTCGAAGGTTTGGAGTCCATGTTCTCGGTCGATCTTGTACGACCATACGGAGATGGCAGAGATAGATATTATGCCTTCCAGCTAAGAATTCCAGTTGCAGTGCGAGTATGTACATTCCAGGGTGATTCCCCCAATCTGCACCACGGTTCGACTTCTCATATAGACGTTGCGCGCGAAAAGTCCCTCCTGCCCCTTAGCCCTTGCTAGACCGGTTTTATGGACGTTGAAAAAGGCAAGGCTGACTCAGAAATGTCGGATTAGGTATACAATCCGGATAGTCAACGAGTACTGCAAGACAGGGTCGAATGTTCTTGTAAGGGTTATCGAATGTCACGAAGTGCATGTCCGCATCTATATGTGAGTCCAGCAACCCGGGCAGGCAAGCTGTCAAAGAAAAGGTAGTCCGAGGCACCAAAACCCTCTCGTTTTCAACAACAGTCTTAGGCATCAACCCGTATTCATTTGTTGTTCAAGATCGAACTGCTCCACGAAGAGGGTCTGTACCGTTTTGGCAGCCATCTTTTCGAGCATCTTGCCTGCCAGGTCCAAATTGTGACAATACTATACTGACAGATGTAGTGGCTCTTTGGACGCTTTCATGCCATCTTGAGCGAAGACCAGCAAGTAGCCAGCTCGGAAAATTCCACACAAATAGAAGTGACTTCTCGCTTGAGTGAGCTGTACCCTCTCATTGAGGAACGGCATGTTTCCTTACCCATGAGTCTCAACAACGTTGAAGGGGACGACGAAGAAGAACTCACGAAAATAGACACCCTATGTGATATTCTCTCAAGCTTTGATGAGGGTCGCACCCCAAGCGAGTACAAGCGCGATGTTGTAGACAACCAGCAGCCATCAATGTCTTTCGACGACATCTTCGTTCCAGGAGATATCTCCCGAACGATCTATCGGCTTGCAATCTATGATGAAGCCTTCTATCAGTACCTGCGGCAGGTGGTACCACCCGACGTGTGTGCGAGGCAGTACTATAATAAGCAGCGTCAGTGAGCGAGGCTTGCGGTTCAATGCCTTGGCCATTATGGTCAGAGTGGACCTCAAACCGGACACGCAAGGAACAATAGTAACCGCCGTTCCCGAACTTTTTCTTCCCCTTTCATACCACTTCTTGAGTCTGAAGACAATTTTGAGGAATAGGGACACATGTTTTGCCCTTCGAACAAGTCCTTAAACTGAAAGTTTGTTTCAAAGGCAGAATGCTGATTTCTAACTGTTGTAGTACCAGAACAGTGGAGGGATATGGATGTCCCTAAATGCGCACGCACTCTTCGTTTGCTCGTGCACCAGTTGTGTGAAGACCGCGAGAGAAGGACCACGAATGCTCCTCTCGGCATAGGGGCAGTATCTCTCCTGGCTGAGACCCTCACTGACCTCGTAGAAGAGGTCTGCTTCCACAACCGAGACATCTACGAGGGAAGCAGCTGGAACAGAAATCAAGAGCCCAATGAACCTGAAAGAGAACGCAATTTGTACGCTTACCTGATCGGAAATCCTCCGTTCAATCCATCACTCCTTCTCTGGATGAGAGACCACTTGATCATTGCCCGACTGCGAGCCTTCCCCGCCGACGTAGGGAGGTCCCTTTCCGAGCGTCTGACCACCATCAAGGAGAATATTGATGAATGGGATGCTGATAATATGCCTGCGTCTCGAGCATATGCCGGCAGGATTGAGGACATGTTGCACGAGTACGATACTACCTAGAACCGATGAACCTCGATCTTTTTCCGCTCAACCGCGGCGCGCATAGGACAGACCTGGATCGACGACTCTGATCCTCTTGTGAAAAGGGTTTCACATGTTGCAGTAACTGCTGTTGATTGCATTCCCTCTTCCAGCGATCTGCGCGCCTGAGGGAAGGCAACCCACGATGGATTTGAATAAGAAACCAGTCTCTAACATCTTGTTGCGTTTCCTGGCACTACGTTTTTGGGTCCTCGGTTGTGTGTATTTTCACTTGTTCCTCTACCATTACCGAACAAAAAGTCCATATGTCAGACCCTGAGATACATAGAGAAGGATGGCCTCAGTTTCGAGCACACTTGACTGTTCTATGGGCTGGTCCCACTTATAGATTATTCATAGCCAGGTTTTTGGTAGATTTTGAGCAAATCTCAACGTTCCAGTGTCTTGGGCCAGCGAAATATACAAGCAGATCTCCCAGGACTCCCTCTTCCATCCTCAAATTCCCCAAACCCCAGAGCGTACTCAACCACACTCGACTTACGAAATCAAACATGGGACAACACATGTCCTGCCTTTCTCGTGGCAGAGGGCGCTCCACGAAACGAAGCAAGCCACGTAAATCCTATACGCCCGCGGCCAAAGCTCAAGCATATCGCAACGCTCCCGCACAATCTACCACCACATGGACGGCAAGTCCATCCGGTGCTTCCGCTACGCACTCATTCACTTATCTCAATCCTGATCCTGTCTCTATGTGCACGGCTGCAAGTGTCAATCTGGGCAAGGGTATTGGATTCGCAACTAGTACTGACTGCTTTGATGCCGGAGCGTGAATTGCGATATCGGTGGCACAGACATGTCCTGTTGTTGAGTAACAACCCCAAACTAATGCCTTATGTCAAAAATACCACGCGGACGGATTCACATTCTACACATGAAATGGTTCAGTTGTATCAATCGCAGTTCACACACTGTGAACCTGAAGATGATTCTTTACCTAAGGCACGAACAGTCTCGGCATAGTGCAAAGGTCTATTGTAAATCCAAGACTACTCGACCGATCAGTTTCCCGTCCTTCATTTCCTGGAACACCTACATTTCCTCCAGTCAGCAAGCCTGTCGAGGAAATGTCAGTACGGGCTCTCGCCACTCACCTCCATCAGGTTTTCCATCTTCTCCGTCCTGTAATGCGCTTTTACAATCCCCCTCGCTGCGAAGTCTAGACACTCGATTGCGTCCCGCCTGGTCCCCACTGCGACGGCGCAAATGTTTGCCTGCTTGAACACGAGTGCCTGCGGAAAACTCTTCGCAATTGGTTGAGGCGCTCCTTCAGGCATGCCAATGCAGACAAGAGTACCGTCAAATCGCAAGAAATCCAACGCCTGCGCATAAGCCTTGTTGCTCGCCGTGCACACGAGCACGGCGCTTGCTCCAAGGCCACCTGTCAATTTCAGGACTTCTTCCACGATAGATGTGTCGTCGTGCGCAGTTACGTCAATGAAGTGTTCGGCGCCGCAGTTCATGACGACCTGCTTCTTGGAGGGGGCGTCAATGCCAATGACGCGAAGAGCCATTCCGCCAGCCGCGAGTTGACAAGCAATATGACCAAGGCCACCACCGGCGCCGGAGATGACGACCCATTCGCCGGACTTGGCTTTGGATTTGCGCAAGCCGGCATAGGTGGTCACGCCAGCACACAGCATAGGCTTTAAGATTGTCAGCACTGGACGCGTGCAACCAAGTCAGACGCACGTTGCCTCTCAGTTCATACTTACAGCAGCATCGGCGGATGGTAGGTTATCTGGGATTGCAGTAACATAGCTACATGCAAAATTTGTCAGAATATTTTGTGTTATGCAACACTTTAAATGGGTGGTGAGAGCTTACTTGATAGGGCCAATGCAGTACTGCTGAAAACTACAAACACCTTCTTGTCAAAGGGCACATTTGGAGAACTCCTGGACCAGGTGGGGAGCTTACGTGCCAGGAGTGTAATATCCACTAACCTTTGCCTTTGGGCAAAGAGCTTCAGAACCACCCAAACACTGAGCTGTAGCTATGGTCAGCCTTGAAGCACCAGGTGCGTATCTCACCTGTTGCAAAGGGTGGAGCGCTCCCCATCCCAGCCTCTACTCACGACAACTCCCGCAGGTCCCAGATACCCACTTCACGCCGACGCGATCTCCGACCTTAACAGTCGAGCTTTCGCTGCCAGGGCCCAGCTTTACCACTTTACCTACGCCTTCGTGACCCCCGACTTGGCCTGCCTGGGTTGGATGGGGGAGGGAGGCCCACTAGAAAGCACATGAGTCCCCGGCTTTTGGGGGGATAAAAGATGCGAGGCAAGCAAAAGGGAGTGATAGGACAGGCCTACTGAGTTCTCCATGACGCCCAAATCAGAGTGGCAGACTCCGGAATGAGTGCTTGAGCCGGGGGTCAACACGGAAATGTGTCCCTTGTCCGAGGGTCTTGAGGCGAGACAGGTACATACAGGTTGATCAAGACTTCACCAGGCCCGGGCTCAGGCGTCTCTCGAGTCTCAATCTTGGTAGAAATCTTTCCGGGTTCATCGTAAACGCAAGCCTTGTACTGCTTGGGTATTTCCGACATTTGGAATCAGGGTACACGCAGAGAGGGCGTTGCAGAAGGTCAAGATGTGATTGAATCAGAGAGCTATGAGAGAGAAGTGTGTTGCCAAATGTGATGCATGAGAAGTAAAAGGAAGACAATAAGAGAGAGGGAGGGGAGGGAAGGAAGAGACAGAGAGAGAGTGTGTGTGGGTCAATTGGAGAGAGCGGTATGGTAGGTAGCTAAGGGTGCGGGGCTCGGAGGAAGACCTCCCCATCTTACCAGGTCAGAGAAGACCGAGCCAGACGGAGCAAAATGTACTAGTAATTACATAGATAAGTACCTTAGGTAGTAGGTACATGTAGTAGGTTAGAGTGGTGGAGTGGTGGAGTGGTGGAGTGGTGGAGTACTCTGCGTCATCTTCAGAAACATTAACCGGAGATAGCAGTAGATAGCCTCCTCATGCAGATGGAATCGTGTACTGGTACCGGTTCACATGCAAACCTTACCTTATTTCCCCAAAAGGCCCACATGGCCCACATGGCCCACACCACCACCACCCCAGGTGCCCCACTTCCCTCCACCAAACTCTCTCGTGGGTGTGGGGAATGCACCTACATACTGCCTACTGCCCACTGCCCACTGCCTACCTTACTGACCCTAAGCGCTTACGCGCTACCTATGTGTGGGGAAAAGACAGGAATATGAAATTCCTGGTTGTTGAGGTGCGGTAAGATGTTGTGATGCTAGCACTGACAGAAAGTACACTACTCGCGCCATGCATGATCGCATCTTCCCCCAATAGTTGTCATCATCAGAAGTAATGACTAGCAATTGACATGTTTCAGAAAGCCCTGATTCGAATTCCACGGCCCCCCTAGCAATTGTGAAGCAAGACCATGTGCATCCTCTGAAACGCTGACACACTGCATCCTCCCATGCATCGGGCCGATAATGTGCGTCCAAGCGGACCCAGTAATGACCGTGGTGAGCAACAAAGACAACGACTCCGTGCGGAATGCCGGCCTTGCCAGGAGTCTTATTTCGCTGGTAGCAATGAATCATCAGCTTTTCCGAGTAACCCATTTGAGGACAGCCTTGAGAAGCGTGACCGTATATACTGATGCTGTCTCCTCCGTGCTTGTAGCTGGACGGCTCCGACTGTATATTGATGCGGTTGCCGTTGGGGTCTAGTCCATGTAGAAGTCGCCCTTCAAGATTCTTTCCTGGAAATGATCCGGCTTTCTGGGAGACTTCGGCATCTCCTTGATCGGCTGCTCGGGAGCTGACACACTGGCAGCCTTTTGATGATTCGAAGGACCCGTCGCTGGAGCAGGAGGTGCTTGGCTGTTGATTGAAGCTGATCGTTCAGCCCTATTCTTGATCTGCTCAGGCCAATTGAACCCTTCGCCTAAACCCGAAGAGAGCACAGGTTAGCTTATAGAACCCAACGTTTGACTACATCTGAGTGGCTTGAACACACACCTCGTCCTTTAACAGACGGGGCAGAAGACGCATTGGTGGAAGCTCTACCGTTGGCGTTACCTGTTCCCCCCGTTCTGACATCTCGAAGCGCCTTCGCACCGAAGCTCATCCTTCGAGCAAATGGCGACGTGGGCGATGTGTTTGGTTCTGCGTCCCCTTCTTCAACGGCGCTTTCATTGATGGAAGTAGAGGGAGAGCTGCCGCTTCCGATGCTGCTCTGCCGGTTCCTCATGTTGGTGAAAGCTGACGTCTGGGTCGGAGATCCTGCCAGGCCTAGTGAAGCGATGGATGTTCGACGACGTTGTTGAGCCTGGGCATTGGCAGCTGCAGTTGCAATGGGACCAGGATAGGCGGGGGTGCCATTGCCGTTGGGAGGAGAACGACCGAAGAGCTCGGAGAGCTTCTGGCCTGGTGAGAAGGAAGCTCGTCGGTCGGTAGTTGCAGTAGGTGTTGGTGGTGGTGAGTTCTCGTTGTTAGACATTTGGATCAATGTTGGAGTCGACGTATCGATGAAGCGCTCAAGACAGCTGTCAACTTAAGGGACACTGGACAGTTTCTTTGTTCGCTTGATCTCACAGCTAGGCGGAATTGCGGGGAACGGATGGAATGAAGTCGAATTGTCACCTTTCTTGTGGACGTATCTCTTAGCTTCACTCAAGGATGCTGGAGAGGACGAGTTGAAAAGGGAGAGTTGCGTCGGGTTACCACTGAGGTTGAAGCAAGGAGTGATGGAATTGATGATCGCCGATCTGTTTTGCGGGGAAAAGAAGCTTCCCGCAGAGCTTGAGAATTAGCGTGTAACGGCTCGAATTCCTTTGGGGTACATTAGTGTTGGTGGATTGTTCAATGCAAAGGAGGGTCCTCTGGAGAGCAGAGTGCTTTGTCTTTCGATTACCTCCACACTCGACATAATTAATAGCTGGAGATTCTATGGTCACGAAGAATGTCCATCTGGGTGCCATTCTGACAGTCGAAAAACGGCGTCAATGCAGTAAGATTGGCAGTGCAAACTGGAAACGTGGTGATCGGTGATTATAACGGTCCAGCATATCATAGGTCTGAAAGTTCTCTTTCGACAACCGAACCAGGCGCTAGCTGCCTCCAAATTGTACGCGAGCAAGCGGCAATCCAAGGAAAATTAACAAAGCCGCCCGCGTAAAAGATACTTTAGGTATGGACAATTCTTCCCTGTTCATTATTCATGAGTTGTCAGACATGTCTCAAGAGTTCGATGCTAACTCCGAAATCATCCAGTTTTGATCATGAATATCTGCGAGGAGTCAGCTAACTAAAGTCCCATCAAGCAGGCCAAGCTATCCATACTTCGTTCAACGCTTTGTTATCCATCATGCACATCTTCTTATGCTGGATGTATCGGTGGCGTACAGCAAGTCTGCCAGCCCCGGGCCTTTGTGATATTCTGGTTGGGGCTTTGGCCTCGCAAAGGGGATATGATGCTACAGCAACCTCTCCAATATTTGGGCCCGGAAGCTGATTGAGGTCTGGCGATGGCAAAATAGACGACTGCTCTCGCACTTTTGATGAGTGCCTTGCATCTCTTTTGGCCCGTTTGGGTTTGCGTTTTGCCTTCTCTGCGTGCCTCTGGACCTTGTCCATCTGAACTTCATCGAACATGTCCTTAAGCGATGTATGAGACTCCCGCTCTTGTTTTAAGGAAGGTGATTGGGCCCCTACTACGCTCCAGTTGACTCCCTTGCTTGTCTCCTGCACACCGTGATCGACTCCTGAAGTCTTCTGCTTCTTATGTCTCTTGCGCTTTGCGCTTTCTGATAGTACCTCCTGTGGTTCATTTGCTTCTGGCAGCCTTCCTTCGTCTAAGTAGTGACTTGGCGTTTGCTGAGAGTTACTGAGCGCATCTTGTCCACCCTTCACTAGGTCCTTCATTTCAGCTCCGACCAATAGTCCTCCACTGACAAAACGAAGATTCCCCCAGCGTTGATCGATATAGGCGGAGCTCCTCAGGTTTGACCTATGTATTCGATCCTTTTTTAGATCTGTTACGTTCCTGCCATTCAAGCGTCCAAGTAGGTCTTGAAAGACGTCAAGGCCTGTAGTCTTACTACTATCCAGGGCTGCTTCATGCTTTGCACCTAGACCCAGGTTGTCGTCCTTGAGCGTAATCCTTATATGGGAAGCACTAGCCGTAGAGCGCTGGTCTGAGTAGGATGCACCTCTGGCTCCGAGTAGTTCTCCGGGCATCCAGCCATGAGATTGGAGTATCTTGTGGCCATACTTCGTAGTTGACCGGCTCCAGGCCGTATTATTGGGGTCGTGGGAGAGCTTGAAACGTCTATTGAGTTCAGCAACGCGCAAAGGGTGACAATCTTGCTCTACTCACTTTTTAGGAGCACCCAGTCCCATGTCGCTGGGTTGATGAATTGAAAATCGAACGCCGTGGGATGGTGTACGAGGTTCAGAACTGTCTTGATGGGGCAAAAAATTGTCTAGGCGAGTTTCCTCGAGAAGCTTGGCCACATCTACAGGCGGCTCGGGCGGGAACGAATCCACGAATCTTGTCAATTATCCTTTTATTGTCCTTACGAGTGATAGGAGCTTGGGACATTCAATCAAACAGCCGATTATGGCACGGGTGCGCGTTTCCAAGTCACAGCGTACAGGAGAACGAGCATTGGCCCGAAGCGATGAAAGTGGAGTAGAAGAACCGTCCCAGCCAGGGTCTCAGAGCTCCGATGACAACCAAGTCACCAAGTTGGCTACAAAAATGCAGAGAAAGGTTATCCTGTGTTCAGACCCGAGCTAATGACGTTATAAGGGTTGACAGTCTCTTAGGCTAGAAGACGTCGAAAGGCTCGACGCACTGTCATCAACGATTGTCATCGGGAAGCAGTGAGGAGGATAGAGAATGCTATGACGGTAAGATTTGAGGAGATCAGGAGGCGGATGTAAGTCTACTGTCACTTTCTTCTCACTCTGTCTGAGTGGGACCAGGATCAAAAGGCATCGGCTTCGAATGGACAGGCTCAACGACCTGATCCAAAGAAGATCTATCATTGAGGCAAAGATGTTTGCGAGCTCTCAGAATATTGGAAACGCCTTCATCTATGCCGACAAAGCACTCGCATTCGCATTTGCACGCCGTCTTCAGAGTATTGGGAAGCGCCAGAAGGCAGCGCCCAAGGCTGTTCATCAATGATGACGAACACATGATAACAAATCGGCGCTTTACGCAAGCTTTTGCATTCCTGCTGATATGCTCTTGGCGTTCGAGATATTTGGAACATGATACCCCATTTTGCATCGCTTGTTTTATGGTGGAATGTAGCAATTTCATCGATCCAACGATTCTGCTTCCTATCAAGTAGCTCATCAAGAGAAAAAAAGTGTCTCAATTGGATTTGGAAGTGTGTTCGAGTATGAGATCTGCTCCTGTACACCTGCTCTGGCACTGCAAGGAGTCGTAGTGTCGTAAAGGTACAAAGAGGCTTTAATAGTGTTGGCACCTCGTAGATGCGCAGTAGCTTGAACTGGACCAAAAGGCGAAATTTGTGTCCGTGTACTAGTGCTCAGACTCGCACCAATTGGTAGATCCTACAGATGTTTCATGGGTAGTAGAAATTGTACCGCCATATCCATTTGTCGCTTGCAAACTTGCGCTCGTGACTAATGTCTTTAAAACTCTTATTGCGAGAACACCCTCAGAGAGCTCTTGCTATCCTTACAGATTCTCATGCTCTCATATTGCGTCACAGCCTGTCAAGTACCAGCGCGGATTCCTCGAGCAATAATGAGACAAGCGCGAGATCTTCGGCTTCCAAATGCATGGTCGAGTTCACGGCTCACGAGGATGTTGACCTGACGGATTACCGTGTGCTACGAGCATCTGGGGTTCATGGAACGCTTGGTCTGATCAACATCAACGCCGATGTTTTTCTTTGTGTCATCAGCGGAGCTGTTCGTGTGGCTACAGGTATGTATACTTTCCGAGAAGTTCGCCTTCCCTATGCCGGACCACTTTGCTTTTCGTAAGAGAAGTTCCGGGAGCAAAAAGTTGTCAATGCTCCTCTGAACTGTCTTATTGCACGCGTATTTGCCTTGCGGAAGGGGTGCTAAACTCGAAATCTTGATAGTGAGACCTGATGAGACTGTTCAGAGAATACTCTCTGTCGACTTCTGTGAGCCCCTTGCTCAAGTTCAATGTTCAGTGAGACTCGGAGCCTGTTAATAAGAGTTTCAGATTGCCTGAACAGAGACGATTTTGATTACGAGCTTCATCAAGAGGTTGACCCGTACTATGTAGACCATGGGCCGCCTCACAGGCACGAGCACACAAACGTGGTAGATCCGCATGATGCGGCCCTGGAGCATCCCTGCTCCGAACTGAAGAAGATCCTAAGCGGCGGGACTTTTTACTATAGCTTGACTTTCGACTTGACCAACCGGCTCCAACATAGGTATGTGAGGTATGTCACCTCGAGAATGCGGAGATCTGATAGTCTCCTAGATTGTCGGAGCAGTCAGCATTTGATATCGATAATCTAGATGACGGTTTTCTCTGGAACTCCTATATGATAGATCCTCTCATCAAGTTTCGTTCCCGACTGGCAGCAAATGAGAAAGAACTTCTTGACTCCTCTCGAATACTGACGTCCGCTATCCGAGGATTTGTTTCCACAATCACCGTCCCGTCCTCTTCTTCGCCAATTAAGGGCCTGAGGACTAATTTACCTTCAACTTTAACCTTGATATCAAGACTGTCCTGTAGGCGTGCAGGGACAAGGTTCAATTCTCGAGGCATAGACGACGATGGGAACGTGGCAAACTTCGTAGAAACGGAGACCGTTTTCTACCATCCTTCCAGCCTGTGTTTCTCTTACGCCCAGATAAGGGGCTCTATACCCATTTTCTGGGAGCAGGCTACCGGTCTGCTTCCAGGACAGCAGAAAATTCAGATTACTAGATCTCCTGAAGCTACGCAACCAGCTTTTGATAAGCATTTTGAGTCTCTGGGAGCTGACTATGGCTCAATTCACATCCTCAATCTCTTGAGTGAGTCAAAACCCGGAGAGGCAGAGTTAACAGCAAGATACAATTATCATGTGCTGCATAGCCCGTTAAATCAAACGGTCGACGTTGGTGGGACGTCGGAAAATCGTCTTATTGAGTCGCAATTCGATTTCCATGCCGAGACAAGAGGACCAGGAGGATATGAAGCTGCAACCATGGTCAAACGGCTCATTCAGGACCGTGCGGACGGATTTGTGTATTTTCTGTGTGAAGATGTGGACTCGTCGTCTCAACGATCGCTGTATGACGAGAAGGCTGCACAAGTGGGAGAGGTAGTGATACTTCAACAGGAAGGCATCTTTCGCACAAACTGCCTGGATTGCCTAGACCGGACTAACCTCATTCAAACTATTATTAGCCAAATGGCTCTAGAGCAGTTTCTACAGCATCGCAATGAGCATACTGCAACCGACTTCTGGGTAAGGCATTCTAGCCTCTGGGCAGACAATGGAGATGTGAGTCACAATCAATATAGGGACTATGCTCCAAGGGCTAAAGTGTGCTACAGGCATTATCTAAGATATACGCCGGCACTGGGGCTTTGAAATCCTCCTTTACCCGACATGGGAAGATGTCATTGGCTGGCGCCATAGCTGATGCCCGTAAAAGTGCCACCAGAATGTACATCAATAATTTCGCAGACAAGGGAAGGCAGAATACTATTGACATGCTATTGGTAAACGACTAAAGGTTTTGTAATCACATTAACGCTCTAACATATTTAAGGGACGCTTGATGGACCAGTCGTCTGTTCATTTGTATGATCCCGTCACCGACTTTGTAAGCGCGGAGCTCAAGAGGAGGTGTGTCTTAAACTTCGGCCAGTATCCTCATGATAGTGACAGAGTTCAGGTTCAACGAGTACTCCACACCTGACACGGTGCAAATTTGGGTTGGAACGTTCAATCTGAACGGTCGCGGCAGTGGCGTCAAGGAAGATCTTACAGCCTGGCTGTGGCCTGATATCAATCAATTGCATCAGCACCCTGGCATTGTTGCTGTTGGCTTCCAAGAAATTGTAGAGCTTAGCCCGCAACAGATCATGTCTACTGATCCAGTGAGGCGCCAGGCATGGGAAAACGCTGTGAGACGAACATTGAACGACAGTGCTCGCAAGCACTCGTCGGAGGAGTACATCCTATTACGCAGCGGACAGCTCGTGGGAGCAGCACTCATGATCTTTGTGAAAGCTGGTATCCTTAAAAAAATCAAAAATGTCGAAGGCAGCGTGAAGAAGGTAAGCTTCAAGGGAATCCCCGCGTTTGGAAATCTTGAGCTAACGATGGAAAGACTGGCATGTCTGGCATGGCCGGAAACAAAGGGGCGGTGGCCATACGATTGGACTATGCGAGTACCCGCATCTGTTTCGTAACTGCCCACCTGGCTGCTGGTTTTGCTAACTACGAAGAACGCAATCGTGACTATCGTACAATCAGCACTGGCCTTCGCTTCCAACGGAATCGATCCATTGAAGACCATGATGCAATCATATGGTTGGGAGACTTCAACTACCGAGTAGGCCTGAGCGATGATAAAGCACGGCAGCTGATCAAAGCAGGCGATCTTGATACATTGTATCAGAACGATCAGGTAAGCCACGAAGCGGTGGATCCATAATTGCGCTTGCTGAGTGACATGTACACAGTTGAACTTACAGATGGTCGCCGGGCATACATTTCCCTTTTATTCCGAGTCGAGAATTACCTTCATGCCAACGTATAAATACAACAACGGCTCAGATGATTACGATACCTCGTAGGCTTATCTCGCGCCCTTTAAGTAACCTAATGTTGACAACTAGTAGAGAAAAGGCGAGAATACCTGCGTGGTGTGATCGGATACTTCGAAAAGGAGAGATTCTGAAGCAGATAAATTATACAACAGCGCCACTCCGTTTCTCTGATCACAGGCCCGTCTACGGAACTTTCCAATGCGCTGTGAGTGCCGTCGACGAGGTCCGAAAAGAGACTCTGAGTCGAGAGATCTACGCGAAACGGAGGTCGGAAGTTGGGGACACCACTGCTAATGCTAGAAATGATGACATCGAGGACGAGGACATAATTGGTTATGAGTCAATAGCTCCCGAACTTCCTCCAGCTAGTTCGGATCGTCGCAAGTGGTGGTTGGACAATGGTGAGGAATCTCCTGGCTCTCACTTTAACCGTCTAATCATTGCTAATTCATTGGGCTAGGGCTTCCAGCTAGATCGAACCTCAAGGCCCCAGACGAGACATCTGTGCTTAACGTGCACAGACCTCAGAACCCTTTCACTCTCACCGACGAACCAGACTGGAAAGCGAGTAAGACGACACCTGGAGGAAGCCATGCCCTCAAATACAACGAACTCAAACATCCGAACTCTCACAGACTTTCGCCAATTCCTGATGGGAGTCAACCTTTGCCGCTTGACACCGATCCCGATCCACTGAGGGAAGAAGTCGCTCTTCGTGGACCGAATTCGAGGAGTTCCAGCCAGTCGTCATTAGTGTTAATGTCGTCGAATGTAGCACACAAAGCGGCTCCACCAATCCCAAAGAAACCTGCTCTGCTTAGCAATCGGCAGCACAGTCAAGAAAGCAGGAACAATGGACAAAGAAAGTCTACGTCATCAAGGCCTCCGGCAGGAGCACTAACAGCATTTGGTGGTGGTGCTAAAACAACTTTCCCTCCACCTCCGCAACGGACCAAGCCGCAGGGAATTTACGGGCAGCAGGCAGCAGAGTCTGATGGACCTCCTCTCCCACCAAGAAGCACCGGTGCTATCGTTTCAGTTCGGAATGGACTGATGGATGATGACAACGAAGGTGCAAGCGCAATACCGTCATTGCAGCCGATGCGCCGTCAACAATGATAATCTTGACCAGTAGGTAGATGGTGAGATTAGGAAGAATGATGGTCATCACAGATACTACAGCAGATGCAGAACAGTGTGATTATCCTTCAACAAATACTGTGGACGCACCGTGCTTTTTTTGTCCAAGCTCCGTAACATGTACGCTGGCAAGTGACTGTCATTATTATCACCTCCATGACTCTTGACTTATGGAGATTGGACTATTTTCAGAGCTTCATCTCTGCGGTCATATTCCATTCTCAAATTCGAATTCCCTTCATCGATCTCGGCCATTGTCTCTCTTTCAGATGCATATTCAGTGGATCGGACGCTCGTGGCTGACTGTGTTGGGCTGCGATGACTTGCATTTGACTGTTTTCCGCTCTGGATCAGCAGGGGCGAACCACACTCCTGACTGCCGAGGGGTGATGACAGCGACCATGCCATTTGATTGGCGAGGACTTTCGGCATGAACGAGTCAGGACCTAAGTTGGCCGTTCGACTCAGCTATGGACAGAGGCCGAGTTTCCCTCTGCAAGTCTTTCGGCAGGGTCCTTTGACCAGGTGAACGAGGCCGTTGGAGGACAGCGGGGCCAGATGAGCGCGGCGTAATGCTTTCGACAAGGGTGAATCGGTCCTGCGGGACGCTTCTGCGCAACTCGGCTGTGCGTGGACGTGAGTACGATTGGACAGTGCCAAGTGGCTCTAATCTTGGTGAGATGTGAAGAGGTGGACAGGCGCTGCGAGGGGCGGTTTGGTACCACGAGCTCCTCGTCATGATCCGGTTTTTCGATCTTGCAAAAACACATATTGGCGAGTAGGTCAGGCACTGTGAGAAGGGGGATCATGGTTATATGCTACGATTTGTGGGAGCGCAAGGGAGATTCTGGGCTTATGAAACGGCATCATGGTGGAAATCTAGATGAGTCACTGACACGTTGAGTCAGACCTGCCACCATACTTTAGACACAAGAAACTGAATTGCACTGTGCAGACAAGCAGATTGATCTGACATGATACATGCATCGTTTGCAAGTACACGCCATTGCTTACACGTCCTCGCAGGCTGCTACACAAAGTGGATTATGATAATCATAGATATCCACTATCTGACACTTATAAATCCTCAGTGCAATTTTTATTGGCTGCTAACCGAAAAAGTTCTCTACGCACTCCTCTAAGCGCCGTCGCTGATGCTGTTTCTGCCACTCTCCAAGACTCCGTCGCAAAAGCTTGGTGGGGAATCTATAGCCAATCATGATTCGTCGTAGTTCAGAAGTAAATAAAAACGGAACTGAAGCCAAAAGGAATTGATGTTCTAAAAAAGAAACAAAACAAGAGAGCCCTGAAAAGTGGTCAAAGCCAAGGATAGCTCTCCACAGATGAAGCGTGCGCCCTCAGGATATAAATATCGTCTGAAACTGGAGCGTACTTCGTAGCCGTCTCAGATAGAGCGTTCCATATTGGGCAGACTTCATCCTTTGCACAGTGTCCACACTTGTATAATCCCAGTACCAACTTAAGTGGAGAGAGTGCAAGAAGCTCTCACTTCTTCTTGCCTTTAGCGTTCCCTCGGCCCTTGTTTGACTTGCCCGCGGTCCAGATCATGAATGGCGGGATCTTTTCTTTTTTTTTCTTGCCTTTCTTTTCTGGTCAAAGTCAGCATAGATCAACGGCAGCTCCTTCAGGGGTGGAAGCACACCATCAACAATTTTGCCACTAGGGGGTGGGGGAGGCAGACCTGGCTCCACAATGACAACATCAGCCATTGCCCCTGCTAGAGCGTCTCCTCCTTCAGGCGCCTCCGGGATAGGCCACATGTGCATTGTTATCTCCCAGCCCGGCTCGACCACTGACTCCCAGATGGACGGCATGATGATCTCGTCTTTCGGACCGAGTAGGTCATATTGACCGTCAGCCACATGTGGGCCCAAGTCGGCAACATGGAGAAAAGCTTCCTTGACCAAGTACTCCATACCCTATAAGAGAAGCGGTCAATTGCGGTTCAAAACATGCAATTCTTCCTATTCTAGAGTAACGTACCGACCACGTATTGCAAACATCAAAAGGAAAGTTGAATCTTCTCCCAATAGCATCCTTGAATTTGATAGGTTTGTCTTTCTCCTTTGGTGGAGATGATGGTTTGACAGTGGCAGTTGCTGCGGCTACGGCGGCGGCAATTTCCTCCGCTTTTTTGGCTTCGGCTTCAGCCTTAGCAGCTTTGGCCTTTATAGCATCCTGGTGTTCCTTCACGAACTCCTCTTTTGCTGCCGCCGCCGCCGCCGCAGAAGCTGCCGCAATCTCTTCGGCTTTTTTCGCATCGGCTTCAGCCTTAGCAGCTTTGTCCTTTGCAGCAGCCTGATATTCCTTCTCGACCTCCTCTTTTGCTGCTGCCGCTGCCGCCGCCGAAGCCGCCGCAATCTCTTTGGCTTTATTTGAATCGGCTTCAGCCTTAGCAGCTTTGTCGTTTGCGGCTTTCTCGGCTGCGGCTGCCTTTTCTTGTTGCTCTGCTTTCTGGTCCAAAAAAAGCTTCTCGAGGCGAGCAAATTTCTCATCGTCTTTGGAAGTATCCGACGTAGACGGTGGAGGAGGCGGGGGAGGTGGTGGAGGCGGGGTGGTCGCTGCTGGAGCTGGTGGAGCTGGCGGAGCCTGTGGAGTTGGCGGGTGTGCATACATACCACCATAAGCAGGGTAGACTACGGGCGGAGACATGGACATGGGCATGGGCATTTGATATCCTTGTGGACCATATGGAAAGTACCCTGCACTTGGAGCATGGGGAATCATCTCATGGCTTGGCCCCCCATGATGCCCATGCGCGAAATAGGAGGACGCAGGTCCACCGGTAGGGGCTTGGTATGGGGAAAAGCCGTAAGGGACTATTTGCTGTAGGCCTCCGGGTACGGCACTTGGAGCTGGATAGGCTTGATAGGCGTGATGAGGGTAGCCTGGGGCATAGTGGGCATAAGGACGGCTATAATGCTGCGGTGGGCCTCGGGCGTAGCCCTGCCATTCTTCGTGGGGGTCCACACTTTCAGGCGGCTCCGACGGCGGTGATCGATGCGCTCTAGGATGTGGGAGGTGGCGCGCAGGCTCGCGGGATATGTGACGACGGAAAGATGGACGTCGTGCCTCCTCCGGTCGTGGCGCTTCCACAAAAGGGCGTTGCTGATTGGAGGTCCGAGGTCTTGATGCGGAATCCGAGGGACCGATCTCGTCACGGTAGACCACGTTCCAGCTGCCGTCTTGCTCTTCAACGGGGTCAGAATACTCGTGACCCTCGACGACTGATCTTGGGCGCACTTGAACACCAGTACCCGTAGAGTCTTCGTCGTCTGTCACTGATGATGATGAAGAGTGATCAGAATGATCGGAGTGATCCGAACTGTGGGCAGTGTTGGTGTGGTCGATGGTGATGTTGTATCTAGCAAGCACCATGAGCATTAGCAATGGCATTGAAGAACAATCGGTTAACTCACGGCATGTAGAGTTTGGAATGATCTAGCTCGAATCCTCTTGATGAAGAGGAAGAGCATAGATTGCCTTGAGAAATGAGACGACGGGCACGAAATTTTTCAAAGTAGCGGTGAAATTCTTGAACACCGAGGCAATGATCCGAGTTGGGGAAAACACAAGGCTGAGATGGTAACGAAGACCTGATTGAAAAATGTGAGTCAACAAGCAGAGGCTGAATATCAGCCGAGTCATGTGTTTTTCTTGGCAGTGCAAAGCAAATATTAGATGTGGCCTCGTCGACAGAAGTCAGTACTATGATTGTCGGGAATCGATCTGGCAGTGAAGTTCTTGAATCGTGAATTTGGATGTGGGAAATGCATACCCAATTGTTGGAGAGGGTGTCCTGCAGGTTCATCTAGGTACTAGTACTCCACAATATGTATGACCTATAAAGCTATGAGGCTATCACCCACTACTATTCTCCCTCTCCCGAGAGTACATCATATCACCACCTGAGTGCAGTCAACAAATCCAACATCGGCAGTGTCGTCTTCTTCTCCTAGCGGAGCATAGACATCTACGAGCTTATATCACATGTCGATGCCTAGGATTTTTCGCACAACCCATACCAATAACTACGAGCATGAACGTGCCCCTTGACGACTTAAATTTTGGAAGTTCCTGTGGGACATTAAGTAGCACCATCTTCTTGTATCACAGCAATACGCCTATCGACTCAAGACGCTCTCTGCTGGTTCATATGGATCATAAACATGTGTTGGCCCTGCAAAATCCCGTTGTTCCATGAGCAGGCAAACAGGGCCGCACTTCATCTCCGTGCCGTGGTGCCATGCGGAGGTGCCGCCATTGGCACAGGACTCTCAACAAACTTCGAGTCACTCGACTCTGTTCTATCGAAGCAACTGAGGCTTGCCGCGCTTGATTCTAGAATGCTGTTTGGCGTCGATTCTGCAACCCAATGCGGATGTGTTTCGAGATCTACACTCAGTCATCGTCCAATCATACAGGCCCTCACCGCTGCTTCCTTTGCGTGCTCCTATTTAGCAAATCTTTGGCAGCATTTATGTTGGCAACATTGCAGCTACTGTTACTCGTCCGGGTGATCTCAGCAAGTTTGAAGGTGGCCTGCTCATTCAGTCTTCTTACAACTGCAGTCGGAAGCATCGGAAGCTCGCCATTATCAACGGTCGCCACCTGTCCTGTCGACCTGGTGTCGTTGGGATTGGTGGAAAGCATTCGGTCGGACGTCTGAAGATGCGCGTCAGTTCCATGCTACCGATATACGGTCACGATCATACCAATTTTAGCCCATAGTATCCTCGAAGATAATCATCACAGAGTTCAACGCTCCTACAAAAGCGTCGCGCTGCCTCGGCGAGACTTCTGCCTTCCGAGCTTTCATTGCCGTTCATTGCGGAGATGTACAGTACCTCACCCAATTGGGCATGTATCTAGCATGAGTCCGTCAGCATCTATCCAATCAGCGTGAAAGAGACTATCTCACATTCCAAGCATTGGGCGCCACTAGCAAAACTTCCTCGAGGCAAAAGACCGCTTGAGGAAACAGATTTTGTGACAAGTACAGGTCGGAGAGTTCGGTCCATGCTTCGATGTCGGTCGGTGATGACTCTAATAGCTCTGTCAGAGCATCAATGGCCTCGGTGGTCCTCGATAGACTCCGAAGGAGTGCGATCCGACGTTTCGCTACTGGCTACAAAATGTCCGAATTAGTATAGACCGCGGGAGGCATATTGTTGGGGAACACCGACAGTATTGACAGTGTCTTCAGCGAGGACTTCGTCGTATTCCTGCAGAACTCTCTCCAACGCTGCATCGTCCTTCGCTACCGCCTCTTGATATAGTCCACGTAGACCCATGACCCGCTCGTTGGTAGCTCCAAAGCGATCGATGAGCTTTTCAAGGCAATTGAAGGCAGCCTTGTCGTCTCCTGTGCGCAAACAGGACAGGAGCAGCTTTTCGTACATAAGCCATACGTCTGTAGATTCTGGATATGACAGAAACGGGATATTAATTGTCGATATTCCCGTAGATGCGTGTTTTCGAAGGTACTGAGCCGTCTGCTGAGATAGGCTCAGAGCTTCTGCATTAGATTGTCGGAGTAGAGAGCTGAGCGACATCTTGACATCAAATTTGCCGGAGCAAAAATTTCTAAGTTTAATGGGAATGTCGATGCAAGTGTAGGACGCGGACTTCATGTAAAAATTGGAAGCATCCAAAAAAAGGTGCACCGAGCTTATTTTTCGTTTCTACACCAGTTTGACGTCGAACCTCGTTCAACCACGACTACCACGGCGGTATCCACTAATTCTACGCCACATTTACGAATGTTAGCACTCATTGTAGCGAATAGCCTTGTCAAAGGCATGTTGCGGGCCAGCGCATGCCGCAAGTATTCAAGAAGCAGAAGGTCTTAACGCCGGACCTCTCGTCGTTGTAAGGTCAAAAGTCCCTCACATTTGAAGCCGAAGACGAACGCAAGCGCTCTTGAAATGGGCTCTGCTTGCAGGACACTACCTGTCTGGCCTACTCAACCTCCCTGGCTTTGAACTTCCATCGTAGTTCACAATGTAGGTTCTCGCCTCTCCAGCTTATCACATATATTGAACAGAGTCGCAGGTTTGAAAAGTCTCTTTACGACCTGATCAGGGGCCTACGGAATCACAAAGGCAATGAAAGGGAGTATATACAGCATAGCCTTCGAGAATGTCGCTCCGAAATACGGGGAGCAGATATGGATCTGAAAGCTACTGCGCTCCTGAAGCTCATATACCTCGAAATGTTCGGCCACGACATGTCTTGGGCGTCGTTCCATGTGCTGGAGGTCATGTCATGCCCACGATATCTCCAAAAAAGGGTTGGGTACCTCGCGGCAGTCCAAAGCTTTCGTCCCGACACAGAGGTCTTGATGCTTGCCACAAACCTACTAAAAAAGGTATGAAACATAACTTTCAGAATCTGCAGAGCGCTCACCTGGGCCGTAGGATGTGTCTTCCCCACTGGCGCCCACAATGTCCTTACCTTTGGTGACTTTACCTCACATCATCACATCCTCCTTGGCGCTTTCTCTTCTGTCAGACTTGTTGCCAAGATTATCGCACTCGAATCCAAATATACGGAAGAAGACGGTCGCTACTCTGTATAGGCTTGCGTTGGTATATCCTGATACGTTACGGTCAGCTTGGCCGAAAATAAAGGATCTTCTCATGGATGAGGATGAAGACTCGAGCGTCACAGCTGCAGTAGTGAATGTTGTCTGCGAGTTGGGTTGGAGAAGACCAAGAGACTTCCTTGCCTTGGCCCCCAGGCTCTTCGATTTACTGGTCGATGGGGGCAACAATTGGATGGCCATCAAAATCATCAAACTTGTGCGTGCGTCGACATTATGTGTTATCTTCTATGCTGACCGCCTCAAGTTTGCAACGCTGACACCATTGGAACCTCGCTTGATTAAAAAACTATTGCCTCCTCTTACCAAACTCATTCGGACAACGCCGGCCATGTCACTCCTCTATGAGTGCATCAATGGCCTGATACAGGGAGGTATCTTGGAAGGTACGGATGGGGCTAGAGAAGGGGAGGAGATTGCTTCTTTGTGCGTCGGGAAGCTTCGAGGAATGATCGTCGTGGAAGGAGATCCCAACCGTGGGTTGACCAGAAGTCACATTCGGGATAACACTGACAAACCGCAGTGAAATACGTAGCACTTCTCGCATTCAACAAGATTGTGTCGTCACATCCACATTTAATATCCATGCAACAAGACGTGATCATCGGTTGCATTGACGATCCTGACGTTTCAATACGACTACAAGCTCTTGACCTTGGTTCTGGCATGGTCAACATTGACAATATGATAGCTGTCGTTGAGCGCCTTATGCAGCAACTCCGTAACGCACCTATTGCCAGTAGACGCGTTGACGATGGTCGAAGTCACACCGTTAGTGTTGAACCTGCGGCAGACTCAGACGGAGAGGATCCAGAAGAAACTCTGCGACCTGCGGCAGAATCGCAGGATGAGACTACTGCATTGCCAGCCGAGTACAGAACCATCATTATACATCAGATACTTGATATGTGCTCTAAGGACACATATTCAAACATCACTGATTTTGAATGGTATATTGATATATTGATACAGCTGGTAAACCTGGTGCCTATCACCGGTCAATCTACCCCTGAGCTATACGGAAGCAGTGGGCGCACTCTTAAAAACTCATCTACGTCACATGAGGCCGACGCATCCAGTGCCATCGGCTGGGAGTTACGTAATGTTGCTGTGAGGGTGAGCACAGTGAGAGCAGAGGCTGTCAGAGCTGCAAATTCTCTCCTAAGCGTGTCTGGGAGCGAAGGTTTCTTTGCTCTCAAAGGTGCTGGCGGCGAGGGCATACTCACATTCGTGGCTTGGATTGTCGGCGAGTACGTTGACGGTTCCGTCTCATCGTACCATAGCTTGGATTCTCTTATACATCCCAAGGTCCAATCACTTTCGCCTATGGTCATTTGCGCATACCTTCAAGCCATTCCCAAGGTGCTTACCTCTATCGTGTCGCAAAGATTGCTCGATTGGAGCTCTGAGCATAAAACGATGATGTCTCTGCTAGTGGCGCGGGTCATTCACTTCCTTGAACCCTTGGCAATGCACTCAAACCTTGAAGTTCAAGAAAGATCTATTGAACTTCTGGAGTTAATGAGGGTGGCTTCCCAAGCTATCACTAGCCACGGCTTAGAAAACGACCGTGGGCCTCTTCTCCTTACGCGAGCCATGCCACAACTCTTCACTGGCTTCGAGCTGAACCCAGTAGCTCCGACCGCCCAGCGAAAAGTGCCTTTGCCGGATGATCTAGATCTCGGAGCTCCTATCAACAAGAGTCTTCCACGCCTTCTGCAGCTTGCAGACCAGGGTCCCCTAGCTGAATCCGAGGCCGCGGAATTCGACTCCTTTTACAATAAACGCCCGCTCCCAAGAGTTGCCACTGGCCCGACCTTCAATTCATTAGCATCTCTTGGGCCTGAACCATCATCATATCAGCAAACAGGAGACAGCATCCCAGACACGGACACAGTTATGCGCAAACGTAACCAACGGCGGGAGAGAAATAAGGACGATCCTTTTTACATAGGAAACGATGATGTGTCTTCTGGTACCTCGACTCCGTTCCATGATATTTTAAGGAGCGCAAACGGGGAGGACGTTGACGTTGATTCCATTCCGATCATGAACTTAGATCTTGGGGACAAGACTCTGACAGCTGATGGCTCTAATATGGAGACTCGAAGGCAGAAGCGCAGGCTGCCCAAGAAATTTGACATTGTCAAAGATGAGAACATCGAATACGAAGATTCAGGAGTGGCTCAATCCGAAACAGCTTCTATGGGCACGATGAACGATAACGGTCCATTTCAACAGGCGCGCGACAAAACGAAGAAGTCTCTACTTCAGGTCGATTCAAGAGGGCTAGGTAGCTTCTCACTTGACAATTCTGAGAGTGTCGCTGAGCAGCTCGACATCGAGAGACAAGAGGCGCAAGACACAGAGATGGCCAAAGCGCTTGCTGAAGTAGAGCGTCTACGTCTAGAAATGCAGCGTGCCTCTGAGCGTATCCAAGCGACAGACGGGGCTCCGGCAGAGGGCACGTTGGTCAAGAAGAAAAAGAAAAAGAAGCTGAAGCAGCTAACCGGAGACATAGAGGCTCAATTCCGGAAGCCTAACCCGGAAGCTGATGGCGGTCCAGTTCGAGGCTCTCAAGATGCCGATGCTACTCTTATAGCAAAGAAGAAGAAAAAGAAGAGGAAACCTGAGATCACAAGGCCTGATGATGAGAAAGAATTGAGAGCTTTTGAGGGTGGTCAAGATGCTTCATCTTTTCGAAGTCAAGCGGTGCTGTGAATGAGAGGATGTGGAACTGCAACATAGCGTTGGCGTTGTCAGCAAATTTCATGCTTATAGAGCTGATGTAGAGGGATAAGACTTCGTACTTGAGTGCTTTCAACGTGAGAGCCTCAAGGTGTGCACATCGATATGATACACACAACGGGTGATAACATCAAATTCGCCAGCAAAAGCGATATAGTATTTGTCTGATGCAGCGGCTTTATGGCATTTGTTGACCAATGAGAGTAAAGAGCTCAGGAAAGGAGCGTTACCTCCTTTAGGCTTTAGCTCGCATCAAGTACGAAGTTGAAGACGCACGGCTATCTTGCGCTAAGATAGGCGCTGCTCCCGCTCCGCACGAATCGCTACAGTATTAACTGTATTATGCGGGGTAAAAAAATTATCTAGCAAATTCGTCCTTTGACACTCAGCAACATCGATGAGATAGCGTTTTGGCATCCGAATTCTTGGAATTAATTTCTTCCGCCCTGAATATGAGTTACACTGTAAATGAAGACCATTCTGAAAACGGCTTCGAGGCATCCAAAGGGATCAAAGGTTTACATCAACAGTACGGCTTTTTCGGTGAAGCTCGACTAAATCGTAACTCAGATATTGATTGGGAGAGGAAACAACGGAATCGGGAATATCGAGTCGCTGCACGGCGTGAGAAGAGAAATCGCAAATCGGACGAGAAGAAACAAAGGAAACTCAATGCTACAATCCTCCGTCGAATGACCAGGAATCCCGACAAGTACAACAAAAATGCTGAACGCAACCGTCTCCGGGATATTGAGGGCGAAAGACGAAGGATCTGGCAGGAGGCTGTTCGACAGGCACAAAGACTAGCCGTAGTACACGATCAGTCTGGGGTAACGTTCAATGTGGGACCCGTCGTGATGCAGGAGGATGGTACTGTCATCTCTCAAGGCACCCTAAGTCGGCGACAGGAAAAGGCCCAAGAAAGAGCTGCTGCGGAGCAAACCAAGGAAGGAGGATCTACCAATGGCACACGGACCACTGATGAACTTGGCGATGGAGAAGCTCTAGCGTCTACTTCTACCAATTCTCCAGCTTTACGCAATGGGATAAACCCCGATCGCCTCACGTATATAGAAGCTGTAGCATCTCAACGGCCACCTAGTCGTCTAAGCAAAACGCAGCAGAAGAAGAGAGCGGCTCTTGAGCCGCGACCACCGCCCCCGAAACCTACAGTCCCGGAAGGTGTCTCGATCCCGGAAGGCGAAGAAAATTGGCTGGAGTTGTGGGACCTACCCGATGATCAGCTGGAGAGGAGGGTTCTCAGGGAGAAGAAGCGCAAAGCCGCCGAAAGAAAAGCTCTACGTTTGAAACAAAAATCAGGCAAAGCGGAGCGTCGTGTCGCCAGAGACGAAAAGAGGAGAGTCTATCGAGATATCAAACTCACTTGGAAGGCTATCAAAGGTATGGATCTGTGCGGCTACAGAATACCCAAGGAAAGACTAATCATGTCCTGTCTTTAGAGGAGCAAACGAGGGAAAAGACGAGACTGAAGAGTATTGAGGATGAAGAGTCAAAGAAGATTGCCGTTGACATTAACGTTTTAGAGCGCAAGGCGGCGCTTGACTGTTGCGCAGCGCTAGGTTTCACACTTGCCAACACCCTTGGTGTAGACGAGATCAAGCCTCGGGCTTTAGGTATGAAGGGTGTCGAAGTTGACTTTGATGCTATTGAGATTGGAGGGAGTCGAAGTGACGTGAAGCCCAAGAAAGCCAACAGCAGAGTCAACCTGGGAGACGTCCCAGATCATGCAAAGGCGGAGTACATCTCTACGGGACAGCTAAGTGAAGAGAGGGAACCAGAAGATTTCATCAAATTAGATGTTGGCGAAGGTCAAGATCTTGAGACGCTCAACTACAACCACAAGCTCCGACGAAAACTCCGCAGGGCTATCGACAATGCTGAAATTCGCAAGGAGATGCTGGTTCGCCAGCGTGCACTTGACCACTGTAACGAAAAGAACATCGAGGTCCCGTCAGAGTTGAGAACCCCTTACAAGGCAATCAATGCTAAAGGCCAGAGGATCCTCGAGAACGGAACACTCGAGACTGCGAAGCAAGAAAGAGTCCGTGCAAGGATGGAACTGGCCGAATATAACACTCAGATGCGTGTTCTCAGGAGGCAAGCAAAAGAGGCTGCCATCTACGCAGGTTTGCGCAAACATGCTGAGCTGATAGGCAAGATCCCATCGAGTGATTCTGACATAAAACAAGAAGAAGCGGACAATGATGAACACGAGGATGGCCATGCTGATGTTATGAGCGCCCTAGAGAATTCATTGCCAATTGCAGCTCCTGGAGCTGCCAGAGTCAGGATGAAACGAAGCCGAGCTGAGAGCGAGAGGTCAGCATCCAGTGACGGTGGCGATCAATCAGAGCAAGATTCAAGAGCTCTATCCAAGGACAATTCGAATATTGAGTCATCAACTTCAACCCATGATACCAAAGCCAGTAAGCGGCAAAGGCTACAAAATGACGGCTCGAAAGTAAGTAACAAGCAGAGCGAATCGACAAACAGTGACCGTCAGGTAATGATCGACGCCGAGCTAGCGCTCAGTGCAAACGAGAAGCAGCGCAAAGATTCGCAGCTGCCCAACCGGTTTGGCTTGTTAAGGGAGGTCGACGCCAACGCCGAGCGTAATTCAGGGAGGAATGGCATAGGCAAGGGCGCCAATTCATGGAATGTGGATGGGTTGCCCGGCGACACGTCTCGCAAAAGCAAATTTCTGCGACTGCTTGGAGGCCAGAAGTCAACCATGGAAGGAAGTGATGGATCGGCGGGTCTTTCTGCTCGTTCGGCTGAGTACAGCGGTCACATTAATGCAGATCTGGAGAGACAGTATGAATCTGGCTTGTCGTACAAAAAAGAATCGAAGCGCAAAGGCTTAGGCTCTTGAGGTTGGCTCTCGTTTTCATTGGACGAGAGAGTTCCAAAGGTGACTGCGTCAACCTAGCGAGCAATTTGGCTACATTACCAATTTTGCTAGCTTGCACAGGTTCGACCATATCGCTCCAAGTGAATCTCTGAATACCGAGACCTAGTCCGCATCCCTGAAACCCTTCGTAACGCAGCAAGCTTAGAAAAAGAGTCTCAAGAGCTCGAATATGATGCCACCGCAAAGCACAAAGACTAGGACACCTTTGCATCAATATCAGCTCACATCGTTTCCGGGATTCTGTCTCTTCAATGTTACGATAACGCACCTATCCAGAGTGGTGATATTGGTGGACTGAACTTTTGCTTTTGTTTAATGGCACTTTCTGGTTTGCCTCTCTTGGCAGCCTCTTGTCTGGCGTATTTCTCATTCGCTCTGCGCTGTTGGAGAGTTTGGGCCTGTACCAGCAGTAAGCTTTGAAGCGGGAGAAGAGACATTGCGGAGTATTCGTACCATGTTCAGCTGGCTTGGCGGGTACTCTCACAGGCGTGGAAGTGTCGCAGGATTGTATTCCACGTTATAGATAGTCGGGATCGAGGATCAGATGGGGTTGGGAGAATATTAGAGATTATGCCCACGGCGATAACACCGTTGTCGTGAATAAATATGATGATGGTATGAAAGTGTGAGAGTCCAGAGGGGGTGTGGGTGGAGAGATTTGGCCTTTTCTCTGCACCACCTGTCCTTGTGCTCTCATGCTCTCAACTTTTCCCAAAAATTCCACACACCTTTTCGCGTCTCCAGGCCCAAGTTTTCCGGATAGCAGAAATCTTTTGCATCAGTGGCACATCAGCAAGTTTCCAATGTCGAACATTCTGGTCTAGTGCTTGACTGCTACTGCTCCCGTCAAAGGGCCCGTCCACCACCACATAATCCATACGGAATACAACGCAATGGATAAACCCCGGAGACCTTCGTCGCCTCATGTATGCTGCGCATCGTTGTTTTGTAAACGACCAATGGCTAATCTGAACAGGTGAACTTCTACAGGAGCTTCGGTCGTCCAATTGGGAAGGTCTTCCTTGGGGCCGTGGTGACTTATCAAACCGTTTACTGGATATGGGTGAAACTCGAAACGGACGAGATCAAGGACAACAAGAGAAGTGGGCGTTCTCAGGCCGTCATGGCGAATACACTTCACTAATATCGCTCAAAGAAGAAATATCAGATCTGGAGGCCAAAGTACGAAGAATGCAAGACAAACCCTCGCCATGAGTTCTCCTTGGATCCTGTCGCTTACCTCCATGATCCTGACGACAAGTCGGCAGAATCGGATGATATGTTACAAGACTCTGACGGCCATGAGTCTTGGTCGCTCAATATACTATGAGCATACAGTGTGAAAATCTGACTTTGAAGGCTGCTATTAAGTCGGCAATTTGTATGACAAGAAAAGTTTGGTCAAAGGCGAGAGCCAAAGTAAAGGCCACGGTTCAAGGGAGGGATACGCTACGTACCAGTGTCTTTCAACAAATTCCGTCAAAAAGTCAACGCAATCTGAGAAGATGATGCAACTCGAAGGCATGTGCTTCTTTCTCAAGACACAACACCGATACTTCAAAGAATGAACGGCGTCTTTATAAACGAATTTAGTAGCATATTATATAGACAATAACATCTCACGCGCTAATGACCCCTTCAGTAATTACATATTTTCAAAATCTGCTTATATATATTATTCTATCTCTTAATAAATAGAATATAGACTTGAAATAATACTAGTAGATACTTAGAATTCGAAGTATATTAGTCGCTTTCGTTTATATTTATTCTATTATCTCTAACTTCGCTATCTTAAAATCATTTTTTATTAATCTCTTCTTCTAATTATAATTATATTATATCGAGAAGCTTAAAAAGATATATATTATTTTATTTTAATTAAGCTAGTTTTAAATATATAAATAACTAGTAAGATTCTAAAACTATTATTTTAGTTATATAAATTTCTAAATACGAAGCTATTTTAAGAGAACTCGAATTTTATTAATCTTATTAATATCTATATTATTAAACATCTTATTAGAAATAATCTTAGATT